CTACCTCTCGATCTCCGTTCCTGCTTTCACGGTAACATCGTTCCCCTTTCCCTCTGCTCCATTGAGGACATTGTCGCATTTAAGTGTGGGGGGGTTCTTGTATTATTTGGATACGGGTGTATGGGTGCTTGAGCCTAGTCCACTGTCCAAATCTTGAGATTTGAGGGCTCCAAGCACGGCTGTTTGCTTGATAATTTGATCTGTATTGGCATTGTGGATGTGATTAGAAATTGAATGGCTTTTGACTCGATGCATGACAACTTGAGGGTGGACTAAGATAGCCTATTACGATGACTGAGATGTGTAGTAGAGTTGTGTAGGGGTTCAGTTTTCAACTGTTTGCTTACCAACTGCGACTTGTATTTGATTCACTTGCTTTTGACAGTCATTTATGCATCTAGTTCAGGGAATCAGAATGTGGGATAGAGCATATAGGTAGCCATGTGAGATTTGAGCCTAGCTCGTTTCCTTCTTGTGCGATAGATCCCTCTTCCATGAAATTGTAGCATTCACGTTGTCACTAGCTAAGATGATGGAGGCATAGGATTAGCCCACGACCAAACTGACTGTCCTGATGCGTCATAACCCCTAGTCAGCCCCTTTGAGCCGTGTGTTATCCTTTCTTTCGGTCTGAAATGAAAAATCACCCTTTGCATCTTTTAGAAGGTTCCACAGAGTGGTTTTTGCATGCTGTCTGCTGTCTGCTAAATATAATGTGAGGGTTGGAGGTAGTGCTTAAAATTTGGGCGTGCGTTTGAAAATGTGCAGAGGTGGTGGTTCTCTTAAGAATGAATAAAGAAAAACAAGAAAAAGATTAAAGCAAAAGAGAGCCACCACCAAAAATCTGGAATAGTGCCCCATTAAGTAGTTTCCGAGTAGTCTGGCTTGGAAATGCTAGCATTTTTGTAACCTCCTTCGCTCTTGTGCCCTAAAGAATTTGATTAATGTGGAATAGCAAGACGAAAGTTACTGGTTTGCTTGATTGTGGTTTTGTCGGGTTTGGAATTGTGGAACCTTGTGCTATAACTGCCACCACCTAAAAGGCCTTTTCCCATGTCCAAGACCCTAGCCAGTCATTTGAACCTGTGTCTAAGACCTCCGGATTAGTTAGTGGTGACACCCCCCTTATGTGAACTCTAGCATTTAGAGGCTGCATTCATGGTGAAGAGACGTTAGGGATTGAGAGAAGAAGCATGCACATTTTCGCATCATATTGTCCTGACCCCACTGGTCGAGAGTGAGCGATTCATTTCTCATTTTCTCTATACTCTTTACCCCGGTGAGGACCTAGATTGCTCGGTCCTTAATTCTGATGTCTTAAGCTTTGTGCATGATATGACTGTTTTGAACAAGTGATTGAGTCAAGTCTATGTTGGTTGGTGAACATGAAAGAGCTCTTCCTTTGCTCGACTCTATTGCATTCGAATGTCATCTGTGGTGGTTGTCTAGGTTGTCGTTCGAGTTGCCATGTGTTGATGATCGAAAGCCAGTATGATCCACGTGTTTTATGCCGATACGATTTGCCCTTAAGCCTGCTTGATTGAAATGTCTCAAGCTTACCTGGTGTCTGACTTGGTTTGCTTAGGGACAAGCAAACGGTTAAGTGTGGGGGAGTTTGATAACGATATAATTACATGATTTTTATACCCCTATTTCTTATCCATTTGCGGAGCATGGTTGTGTGTTTTGGCCTATTTTACGCCGGGTTGTGCTACTTTGTCCTATTTCAGGTCCCAGGCGTCAAAGGGAAGGCCAAGCACGAGTTTCGGATCGTTTAGAAGGCGTTTGGACAAGCCAGGGCCAAAACACGGGCAGGAGGCCTCAGAACACGGCCGTGTTCCTGCCCGTGCTTTTATGGCCGAGACCTTGCAAGTGTGGCTTGAACCATCTAAAAAACACGGGCAGGCCTGAGGAAAACACGGCCGTGTTTTAGCCTGAACACGACCGTGTTTTCAAGCTGCCCGTGGCCGTGTTTTTAAGGCTGAGGCAAAACACGGGCGGGCTGAGGCAAAACACGGCCGTGCCCTCGACCGTGTTTTGGCCAATGATGCCCTTTTAGGCAGATTTCAGCCAAAAAGAGAGGGGATTCGAGTTTTAGAGAGATAGAACGATTCCTAGAGAGAGAAAGCGACGAACAAGAGTCTCCAAGTGCCCTAGATCGATCTTCAACACCATTGGAGCTTGGTTTGAGCTTGGAGAAGTGCCGATTCAACGTCCAGGAGCAGAAATCCATCTTCACAGTATGATTTCCGCGTCTGATTTTGCTTTTGCTTCTCTCTCCATGGAGTAGTTCTCCCATTCATCTGGGTGTGGGAAACCCTAGTTCTGTATGTTGAGATTGATTGTATGAACCCAAGTACTGATTCTGTGATTGATTATATTCGATTGAGGTTTGAATGATTGAATGACTTGAATCCTGATCAAATTCCTGTTGTTTCTGCTTTAACCTAGAATGAGAATATCTGCCTAGGTTAATAGAGTATCCTTGATTGAAGGTAGGGAGTTGGTGACTTTAGTCGAGGAGCCAACTCACTATTCTGTACCGGATTTACTCCGGTAGTGGAGGTTTTGTTCTTAGGGCCTCAATCTGTCGACTCCGGTGGAGGTTAGTCGCCCGCTAGAGAGTCAGATTGAGAGGGTCTGAAGACCTTTAGTCGAGACTTCAGGCTGTTTAAGAACCTTCCGCAGTATAATCTTCATAGAAACTGAACTTGGTAATTACAATCCGGCTTAACTACAGTCTAGGGGGAACCATATCCGGGTGACCTCTTTAACCTGAATACAACCAGTTTACTTGCTTTGTTTGTTTGGTAGTTTAGACTTGCACTCCAGTTTTATTGCTAGATAACAAGAACTCATTGAGTAGTCAGCAAATCTAGGACCCGGGTTGACATATAAACCTACCCCGCTATACTACGCTTTAGGAAGTGGTTTCACTTGGCCAATTCCTAGGGTGACAGTAGAGTCGAGTCAACATATACTTCGACAATGAAAACAGACAAAAGGATTCTAGGAGCATTTTAAATTGGATATTTCTCAGGGAAAAAACGTGGACTTCAAGACTTGGCTAAATGAGATTAAAGAAGCAGAAAGCATGTTAGATTTTGGTCGCATTTATGGAAGCAGAAGAATGAAGAAGCGATGAAGGGTTGACCCTATTATGAAGTTGTAATTATGCAGAGGATAAGTGCACGATTTAAGATTTGTAAGAATGAAAAAGTAGATAGGACTCGCTTGAGTAGACATATTCCATGCGTCTGCCGGAGGAGAGGTGGATCCAAGTTCAGGCTGATGGATATGTTCTTTCGCCAACTGGTAGAGAAACAATAGGAGGGATGCTAAGTGATCATCTGGGATGCTGCAAAAGTGTATTTGTTAGTAATCTTGGTGTGTGTTCCATCACGAGCACCAAATTAAAAAGGATATGTAGAAGGTTCGTTTGTCTATGGCTTGGAACAAGGTTAAGCTAAAGTTAGATTACAGAACAACCATTAACATCATCAAAAGGTTAAGTCGATTACTTGGCTAGTGTAGGACATGAGCTTCCTTTCGACACACATCTATTCTATGTGAGCAACTCGAAACTTGGTTCTGGGCTCTCTTATGATGTAACGGGCATCGCTAATGATCACTTTATTAATATGAATTAGGATGCATTGCATCCTTCTTTACCCAAAAAAATACAACTTATTGTGCATTTACGATTCTCTATTTAGACTTCGGCAGATTATTCCAACAACTCATTTTTAATAATTTAAATGATAGGTGACTACTATTTGCTTTCCAAACTCAATGTTAAAGTAATGAGCATCAATACGAGTTATAAATATTTGCTTTTTAAAAAAAGAGAAATTTTCCATTGTTGAAGCCGCTATACTTTGAAAATATAATTAAGATGTTCATGATTTAAAATCGTCTTTTTTTCATTTATTTAATTCATATTTATTTTTAAGTATATAGTTATCAAACATATGAAAGGTTTCACTCTTGGATTTTTCAAGAACATATCAGTGTGTTGATAGTATTATGTAAAAAAAAAAAGTACTTCATGAACAAATACCTTTGGTACTCCAAAAGTGACACTTTATCAAGTAAGTCAAGCTTTCTGCCAGATGATAGTCCCTCAATTTCTTAAGTTTTTATTCGAGTCAAATAGCGAAGTTGCAAATCATTTTCGGGAATGCATTATATATATAAAGTTATATTTGACTTCAGTTCTATGGGTGGCAATGTCGAACATTGTTTCATTGATGGGTGCAGATATATGTGTTTCCAATTAGGAGACAAATTTACCATCCAATTGGCAGTATACTACCACTAAAAGTTCCAGTTATAAAAAAAGAAGTTAAAAGTCGACTCATTCAATCATTTACATATTATAATTTGTATACGGTATGTGAAATTGTTGTTACCAAGTAGAAGACAATGTTAGACACTCACAATATCCGGTACAAACATTTAAATACGCCAAATACAAAATCAAAGTAAGACCATGTACGACTTATGACGTTGAAATATTTAACAATAAAATATTAAACGATTAAAAATATGATTTTATAACTGGTGATAATGTCGTACTCCGATTGTTGATCATGACCAGACTCATACTAAAAGTGATCATCCCTCCTATCTAACAATATTTGGATAATAAATAGCACAAACAAAAAAATAAATATATAGGGAGAAGTAGCATGTTGATACCACCAATAAAATATAACAAACAATAAAAGGAAAAAAAACCAAACAAACAAGCACATCACCCATCGGACAGACAGAAAACCAGTGTAATTAAATAACCAAACATATTTTTTTTATATTTGATTTATAATATCTCATTTTCAATTGTGTACACTAAATCTGATATATATATTAGTTATCACGCCCTCTAAATTCAACCATTGAAACCAACAATCATCCTCATGAAAAAAAAACATAGTTACTTCCATTCCATACTAACTGACTTAATAGTTAATAAATACTACGGCCTAAACAGTTATTTTTCACAAAAGAAACACATTGAGCGGCCCCAACTTGTTGCAAAACACGGGCACTTCATAGTCCCAAAAACAGAGATCACACAGCCGACTCTCGACGATTTCCAACACTTGTTCCTCTCTCCGCAGCCATAAGAAGTCCGGATTCCTGCTGAAACACTTCAAGTCTTCTCTCTCAACGCACCTGCAACTTCCACGCCGGACGTCCTTCCCCATCCAGCACCTCCCTGCCAGGCCACGGCCATCGCCGTTCACCCACAACAAGTGCTCCATTACAGACTCCACCGTCTTTCTACACTTCCTTACGGTATCCGATCGCCTCAAACCCTCGAGAAACCCCAACCCTTCCTTCCTCGCGTCGTCGTCTCCTCCGGCAAAGCACAAGAGGATCATCCCACAGACGTACCTCGCTTCGGCGTGACCCTTCGCGGCCGCAGCTCTCAGGCAGCGAATCCCAGACTCCGTCGTTTCCGGGGTGGAAAAGTACTCTGCCATCCCGGTGCAGAACAACGCTTCTCGATTGCCGCTTTCCATGCACTCATGGAGGAAAGACGAGGAACTGCGCCGATTGCGCCAGTTGATGTAGGGGAACTTCTCCAGCACGGCGGCGTGCTCCAGCACGCAGCGCTGCGAGGAAGCTTCGAACATGGACTTGCAGGCTCGCCTGGCGTTGAAGAGATTGGTTATGGAGCTCGAGGCGACGTGGGATAGAACCTCTTCCAGAAGAGCTCGAGGGAGATCGGTCAGGTACTGATGAGGGACTGCGCTCCTGCGTTTCATCCTCTTTCTCTTTGTCATGTGCATCAGTGCCATGGCGGTAGGTTTGCTTTTCATATCCATTCGTTTATTTGGATAGGAATGAAAAAAGGAATAACGAAGATTGATAAAGAAGACTGGAATTGAAGAAGATGTATGCGGATTGGAAATCCTTTTCCTGCCCGGATTCTTGTTTCCGCGCCCAGCAAGCCAACTAGCCAAATACCACTGAAAGCCTTCAGGATGTTGTTCTCAACTTTCGTCCTAAACATGGACAAGGTGGAACTTGCTGGCACTGCCAAATCCACGAGCGAACCGGATTATGAGAAAGTCATTATAAGCAATCTGAGGGCTATATCTCATTACACCACAACAGCTACTGGAATGTGTTAGAACAGGACTAAATCGATATCTCAAAGAATCTCAAGTTTTACAAACCAGAGACTTTCCCGGTTGATTTCCGGTACAAAAGAACAACTATGGGAAGACGAAAACCCAGATTCAAGCACCCTGCACTCTCTTCTTGGAATTGTTCTTCGGTCTTATCTTCACAAAAGCCTTTGCTAGATCCTGAAAACAGCAAACAGAGAAAAATCCATAAGTTTCTCTTAGCTTTTCTTAGAGTCTAATTCTGAAGCAATGATGCTACACTGCAAACTTCGGGAGAATGGAGATATAATTCTAAAACCCTAAACCCTTCCACCGTATTAGCTTATCTTTCCAAAAGGGTCAGTTTTTAGAAGCCTAAACTGTTTCCTGGCAAGGGAGAGACAGCTCCACCAATGGTTTCTGTAGAAGTAATCAATGGTTGAAGGAAAAGACACGAGGTGTTCGCAAATAGGGCTTCACTAAGACATACTAAAGAAGAAAAATGCATCCATCTCTCAGGAAGACCACGCAGATCAGAAGAATGCATAAGAGAAATGCCAAGTCATTATCTGAACACATCTCTATTCTTTGAATATATTCAATATTTCCTGATTGAAATTATAACCGAAATCCGAATCGTTCATGAGAGCTGATATGATGATGATACCTGAGATGGCTCCTTCTGCGATGGGTCTGAATTCCAAAGGTTCTCCAACTTGTAGTAAGCTCTAGCATTCTCATCTAGGGCATGAACTATCACCCTACCTGAAAAAGGCACAAAACACCCAAGAAAGTTGCAGAGCAAGTATGAAGCTCTACAGATTGCAACTTTATTTCCCAAAACAATAAAATAAAAACGAGATTTGAGAGCATTACCCGAATCAACGACGATCCACTTCCCTTCTTCTTGCCCTTCCACGCTTGGAAGCATCATCCTCTCAACTCCCTTCTGTTTCTGCTTCACCTGTTCAATTCAAAATCCCAAACCAATCACGCAACCATCAAAGAAACATTCAAATGCCGCCATCGACGGAGAACTCCCCCCAATTAGGGTTTCAACAGCAGCTCCCAAAACTGAATTTGACGAACCTTGCCTTGTAAACGAGAGCTTCAGCGATGTTCTTGACGTGCCAGGTCGACCTTCCCGTGGCGACCACCATGTAATCAACCCAATCGCAGCGTTTTCCTACCGGTATCACCTTCACGTCGTCGGCTCTCACGTCGTTGAGGATTTTCTCCACCTCGCCGAGCTCCAGCAAGCTTCTCCTATCGCCTCCATCGTTGCTTTCCGAGACGATTGACGAAGAACAGAGACCGCGGCGGGAAACTGGAGAACCTAGACGCCATGACCGGCGGAGGAGAGATGATGAACTCGATGACCGCAGTGCAGTCAACATTTAGAAACCGCGAACCAAGTTTTTTCCCCAGGCGGCGCTCCGGTCGACTTTCTTTCACAGATGGAACGCAGAGGTTACTGAGGAGCGAGGAGCGTTGAGGAGGAGTACGCGAGCATGAATGATTTGAGTCTGGGCTTGTGAGCATGAATGATTTGGGCCCAGATGGTTTATTGCCCATGCCAGTTTGGAGCAATATATATAAAAAAGAGGTTAAATACACTTGTATATCCAAAACTTTCATGGTTGTGCCAATAATATTCAAATTTCTCGAAATACCATTTATATCCAATTCTTTCACATTCTTTAACGGTGTTTTTGGATATACAAGTGTATTTAACCAAAAATATATTGGGAAATGGATAGATTTGGCAAAGAACAACTTTAAAACATGGATATAAGTGGTATTTCGGGAAATTTGGATATTATTGGCACAACCGTGAAAGTTTTGGATATACAAGTGTATTAAACCTAAAAAAAATTGCAAGATAAAAAAGGGTAGAGTCAGAGTGGGTGGTTAACTCGCGATAACATGGGTGATTATCAATGTTGTCATAAACGAATTGAAGTATAATCCGGTAATGTGAACCGTTCGTACTTTAGTGATCTAATCAATATTGGACTTTTAGAAAATCGGTACCTTATAAACAATAATATCATAAGTAGAAGACACATAAGGTAATAATTTAACAATTTAATTACAAAAGTGAAATTTACTTTGCAGGTACCACTTCACTTAGTAAGTGTACAATCTACATCTCTACATCTACATCTCTACAAATCCTCCAATAATATATAGTAGAGTTTTGTGAACTTTTATCCATTTCAAATTGCCTGCAACGAGAGTGAAAGTAGATAGGACATTTTTTCCCTTACAATTAATTATTTATTTCATATAAAAAATATCAATATCAGGATTGAAACCCAGGTCTCTTGAAACAAAGATAGCAAGCATAACCAATTACACTAAATAAATTTGTTGTTCCTTTTTTAATAGAAAACATACATGTCATTGAACTCTGGAAAACGGAGGACTTTTCCATCATGATTAACAAGCTCACTAAGTCTCCCTTATGGTCTTGGCCCCACCCGTCGAGAGTGAATGATTCATTCATGTTTTGCATGTTCATATCTTACTCCGGTGAGGACCTATGTTGCCTCTTCGTTTATGCATTGAACTTGAACTCTATGCACAGTTTGTTGTGGTTGGTGAGTGGTTTTGTCGAGACTTGTGTGAGCTTGAGAACAGGGTGATAACTTTAATTTGCACATTCTTGATGCATTCGAATGTCGTTTGTGGTGGATGTCGGTATTGTTTGTAGCGGTTCATGTGTTGATGCCCACTAGCCATTGAGATTCACCACTTTGTGCCCTTTGATTTGTCCCCAAGTTATCTTGTTAGGTTGAGATATTACCTTGGTTGAAAAATGGGTTGCTTGGGGACAAGCAAACGTTTAAGTGTGGGGAATGATTCGAGCCTAATTGTACACTTTTTATCCCCGTTTTCCTTAGACGTTTGAGGCATTTGCACTCCAAGAGGTGTGGTTTTACGCTAGGTTTTGCCTTGTTTTAGCATGTTTCAGACTAAAGTAGGTGGAACCAGTCCCATAGCCGGAAGTTGAATGAAAAGACGCAAAATCAGGTCAAAGGATGGAGGCAGACACAAATCACGACAAAAGCAGATAGTTCACGGTCAGGAGGACCGTGAACTGAAGCTAGAGACCGAGCGCCATGCGTCCAGAGCCATTTTCGATCTCACTGGACTTAAGTCAGTTCACGGTCGTAAGACTGTGAACCCAAGTTAGAGACCGTGAAGAGCCTAAATGATGCGGTGCGTTTTTGCTCCAGATCAAGGTCCCCGCCAGATGTTCACGGCCGTGAGCTGGGATCGTGAATCAAGCTCGACCTGGGTATAAAAGAGGCTTGAGCTGAAGAAAGAAGGGGAGGGGGGGGGGGGAGAGACCTAGTGTGAGAAACTTCTTCTTCTTCTTCATATTTCTAGAGTGAGAAAGTGACGAACCAAAGAAGAGAAGAAGTTAGGGTTTCATCTTCAAGCAAGGTTTTGGAAATTCCTTTACCAAAGGAGGATCTCGTTAACACAAAGAGCAAGACTAGCATTTCCATGATGGTTTTCCTTCTTCTCCCTTGTGTTTTCCCTTCTCCTAGCATGGAGTAGTCCCTTATTTCACTTGGGTGTTTGTAAACCCTAGCTACAATAATGTGAATGTTTGTATGAGTTGATGATTTGTGTGTGGATGTGTTCTAATATGAATTTGGAGGTATTTCATGGAAGATTGTGTTGTGTGTTTGCCTATCATTCTTTTTTGCCATTCTAACCTAGGTAGAGAGAAACCCCCATTTCTTTGAAAGAGGCTTGTAAAGCTGAGTTTCTTAGGCAAATCTTGTCTCCTATCTAGGTTAATGTAGGGCAACCCTCTTTGTTCGTATTAGCACCTAGAGTTGGCTGTAATTTGGTCGTTCGAACTCCGATTCGAAGGTGGAGTCTTGGCAACCCTTAGTCAATAGGTCAAGAGAGCTACTTTGGTAGCTTGAATAGAATTTCCTTGACCTATTGACCGAGAGAGTGGCATTTGTTCACTTGTTGCACTTCCCTACGGTTAACAACCGCCTTACCACACGTTTTCATTTGATCCGACAAGTCATAATTGCTAGCTAGTGAGAGCAACACTCGAGTGAAGCATTTTCAATCAGTGTCAAATTCATGTACTTTTCAAAATGTTTTAGCCATAGATCGTTGTAGAGGCAAAAATCTAAACAAAAGAGTTAAAATTCTAGGCTTAGAGAATATGAATTGGCGTGGGAGGGTTATAGTCTTACCAAATACCAACTATAGTACTTCCCAATTTTATTATCAAGTTTTATATATAATTTTACTTGATTTTGAGAGTTGAATGAGTTATAACCTCTCTCTGCCATCAACGTGGCTCCGCTATTGCCTATATCTATCTTGGATATACACAAGCAAAACAAAAAATTTCGTTAAATGTTGAAGGATCATATGCATACTAAAATTTGTTGTTACAGAAGAGCTAAGTGACAGGACAAATATTGAAATGGTTTCGATGGGCTATCTATATATCTCCATGATCGTGATTGATAATTACTTAAAAAATAGAGATGCTAGCTTGTTGAATAAGTGGGGGGAAATGGAGGTTAGCTGTCGATGGCCACACTCTGGAACTTTTGATATGTGCTCCTATCTGCCAATTAAAACGACATGATTTCTGTCTAATACAATACATACATACAAGTTTCCATTAGTGGCGTTTTGCAGTAATAACGATGTTAGGACCAGGAGAGCGACCAATTTCCTTTCCTATCCACAATTCTTGATGCTGCCCTTTTCACCCCCACGGAAAAAGTTAGTTGACATTCAAATATTAATCATATACTTCTGACGCGAACTTAGAGGTCGTTTGGAAGTTGTGATTGTTAGAGTTGTGTTTGTTAAATACATGTATTAAGCACAATACAATGTTTGGAAGTGTCAAGTTGTAAAACAATGCGTGTATTGTTTTGTGTAGGCCCCACCAACAATCACAAAAAATGATGCATTATACAATCTCAACTAAAAGTTGAGATTGTTGTGATTGTCCTTTTAGATTTGTGTCCACTTTTTCTTTCCATTTATATCCCCAATATTTTTTGTTTTATACTAAAAGGTGAGGGTAAATGTGACATTTCCCTATAAAGTAACTTTATGCAAATCAATACATAAACTAGAATCTCAACAACCAAATAATGTATTGTCAAAATGCATCTATTGTATCAATGTATGTATTTATATTGTAGTGATTCATTACAATACAACGATTTAACATTCGCAACTTCCAAACGACCCCTTATTGTCCACAAAAACTATCAACATAGTGGAGAAGGTCCACCTTAAAGTTACACCCTGATATGATAAGGTGATAGGTGGAGTTGCGGGTCGGATTTTATGGCTTGATTGTGAATGGCAGTATGAGATCACAATCGACTGATGTTTTGCCTAAGAATTTGATTGTATTACAGTATATATATATTCAACTTCTAGATTTCGTGCTTCTTATTTAGAGGTGACAATTCTCAATCGAATCCACCAATCCATTAAAAATATCCACCTAATCCAATCCATTTAAATCCAATTGGATTGGTGGAGGCAAATTACGGTTTGATACATATATTTTTTATATTTTACATTTTGGTACCTAAAATTTTTTTCCCCAGTAATTAGTAGGTTTCATTAGTAGCATCCTCCTGGCCAAAACAACACAAGGGAGTCGAAAAAATACAGAGGCTTAAAGCCTACTCTCCTCATACAGACAGAGTAACCAAAAATCTAACCAGCTACAAAACCCTACCACAACTAGTAGAAGACTGCAGCTGAGTAGCAAACTCGGGATGTCCACACGCATAGAGTCGAATCTCGTCCCTGATCAATTCACTAAGTACTAGAGCTGGACGAGGTGCCTCTCCATATACTCGTCTACATCTTTCCTTCCACACACCACAGATGCACCAACTCCACACAGAATTCTCAACTAATCCATAGCTACCAGATTGCCTGATATCATTGAAAAACTACGTTTTGGTATCTAAATTTTGTCATTATGACAATTTAGTGCATAAACTTTTCAAAATTTACATATTGGTCTAAGGTTGAGGATGTCATTTGAATTCATGGATTATCCATCAATCCACTTGATCCAATTCATTAGATCCATGGATCCACCAATCCAATTCACCAATCCATGGATCAATCCATTTGCCATCTCTATTCTTATTCATATGGTTCTTTGTAATTGTAATGTTGCTCTACTATCCATATCATCTGATACTCCAACATCCACCATGGACGAGATTGGCTTGGGATGAGGAAGAGGAGTTGGGCTTAAAGATTGGACGCCATGACTCCGAATCTAGCTAGTAGTCGGGCTTGGAATCAGATTCGCCGAACTCATCTCACTCGAGCTGGGAATAGAAGGAGGTGAGATTGCTGAATCAAAGGATAAAACGATGGAAGAAGAAGCATCAATTTGATTATGAACAACCATCCATATCACTTTTAATTTTTTTCACTAGAGCAACAATTTGTGCAGAGCAACTCAAAAACTCATTAGACAAAAAAACTTTGTCAAGTTGCACCGAGTTATGATTTCATTGCACTCATGGTACTTTTACGGGGAAAGTTAATCTGCTAACTTGAAGATTTTTTATATTAGTTAGTATATACTAACGGGCTCAAGATAGGGTGCATAACCATGGGTTATGCACCCATCAATAACCAAATCTGGACTCTTCATTTAGAAAATCCAGATCTAAGGATGGAGAATTAAAGACTATTTTTATTTTCACTAGCTTTCTTAATTGACTCATATCTTTTTCGTTTTAACTCGGATTTTAATATTTTTTGCATAGATGGAACGAGTTCACCGTGCTCTACAAAATGAGATCAATTTTCAATATTTTTTGAGGAAAAAAAATTCTGGCCTATCGGTACCAACTGCATACCATATGGTATTTTCTTCGTTTTTAATTAGTTTTTGAAAACGTTTGCACAGCAGGGACGAGTTCATCATGATCTACTGGATCTACAAATTTCTGGGTGAACAAAATACAGGACCAAAAAATACCACACAATACCATACAATACCACCCTGATACGGGGTGGTATTGTATGGTATCTTGTTCGTTTTTAATTCGTTTTTGAAAACGTTTGCACAGAAGGGACGAGTTCATCATGATCTATTGGATCTACAAATTTCTGGGTGAACAAATTACAAGACCAAAAAATACCACACAATACCATACAATACCACCCTGGTACGGGGTGGTATTGTGTGGTATACAATGTTAAAAGTCGTAAATTACAATTAATATACTTCTACTATCATGTATTCAACCATCCTACAGTATTGGTTTGTTCATACCACCATGGTATGTTTTTCAAAACATAGGTATGCTTTTATTTCAATACCAGTCAATACCATATGGTATAGGCTGGTAAAAAATGGCTCAATTTTTTTTGTTCGAAAAATATATTAAAGTGGATATCATTTTGAAGAGCACAATTAATCTGATCTAACTGTGCAAAAAAATTTAAATTTCGACTTAAAATGAGCGAGAAATCGTCCGTCAAAGATTAAAGAGGGAGAAATTAAAGGCTTTCTATGAGAGAGAGGATGCTGATGTCATGCTGATGTGGACGAGTTACTCATGATTACTCACCATAAGGTTACTTACCTGATCCATTCCCATACTAACGAATCTTCAAATTAGCAGAATAACGAGAAAGACAACAATCAGATACAAAAATGGAGAAAAGCGAGAAATGAAAAAAGAAAAAAAAAAAGAGGAGAAGCAGAAGCTAAACACAGTAAAACTAAAATGAAATGGCTTGCGGTTGGTTACGCTATCATTCACTTTCTCGGAGGAGAGAGAAGGCGAGAAAATTCTATGCTTCCCCCAACTCTGTTTGTTTGTCTTCTTCCTTGCCCTTCCAAAAAAAATCCTCCCGATCTGTGCAGTCTCTCTTCCTAACTCAGACTCTGCCCAATTAAATGTTCTGTAGATCCAAGTAACAGTCTCGCTTCTGCTACCACTGCTTCCTCGCTGGTCGTGATTCCACATTTGACCTCCTTCGCCTTATCTCTTCGTCTCCCCCGTCGAGATCGCTGTTTATTCAACCACTCTCTCTGACTTCCGCGCGTTGAAGGGATTTTGACGCCTAATTTTGGCAACTTGGGGTCAAGCTGCTGTCAAATGTGCTTGTGGGAGCGCTGACCTTCTGCTTCTCCGGAGTTTCAGAGCTTGAGTTGAATTTTGGTTGTTAATGTGCGCGTGGAGTTGCTGCTGTTAGAGATCAACTACGCGCTCTTATGGTAGTTTAGGGTTCGGGGGTTGTTTCGCGCAGGAGGAAAAGTTGGAGACTTGCAGAGGGTTATCTATTTTGCTGCATCTGAATGGTACAGTTTACGTGATTGGGTGGATTGTCGTCTCTTCCACTGCTGGTTTCCCAAGTCTTCAATGCCGGGTGGGATTTTGGCGGCGGGAAGTAAGAATGATGGGAGCAGTTAATGATTTAATGGAGTAATGATTATGGTAATTTAAGTTTTTTCAAGCTCTGCGGAGGCGGAACTAGGTTTTCTGAGTTACTCGTGATGAGAATTTGTAGTGAACTGTTAATTTAGAAGGGGTTTAAGGTGTTTGGACAAAGAGAGAGATGCCGCCGTCTCCAGCTATGAGATTCTCTCCTGGGAGAGAGCTGAAAGCTGCTGATAACCACAAGCGAGGCCGGAGTCTTGAAGGTGGGATTTTGTTCAAGGAGAGAGATGATGATCTTGCTTTGTTCAATGAGATGCAGAGCAGGGAAAAGGAGGATTTTTTGCTCCAGTCGACTGATGATTTTGAAGACTCATTTTGTAAATGCTTCTATACCATTCTCCTAGTGCTTTTTATAATGGATGGTTTGGTGTGGAATCTATAATGTTTTAAGCATCTAGAGGTTAGTGATGCTTCTGAATGGCTTGCTTTTTTATGGAATTTATTCAGCAACGAAGTTGAGATACTTCTCGGATTTGAAACTGGGGATCTCCGTTCCTGGGCGTGGGGAGAGTAGCGAGCTGATGAATGCAGAAGAGGACAAGAATGACTATGATTGGTGGGTTTACCGTTTCCTTGTTTCCACATAGCGAGCTTTCTATTGTCTATTGTACTTGTGCCAATCCCTGCATATTAGAGCTCTTCATGTGGTCCTATGATCTGCACAGATTGCTTCTTCCCAGTTGGTTAAGTTACTGAAAGTAAATTGGTTTTGTAGTTTTTGGTCACACGTCCAGTAATGTGAATGATCTCACTTTGAGTTGTTTTGTTAGGTTATTAACTCCTCCAGACACTCCTCTGTTTCCTTCTCTGGATGATGAGCCACTGCCACCGAATGTTCCATCCAGGGGCAGGCCTCGAAGTCAACCTATTTCCATATCAAGATCATCCACGGTATGTATGCTTGCGCGTGCACGTGTCCACAGTTTGGTTTCTATTATTTTAGTTTCCTTCAACTGAAAATTCAAGTCTATATGCAGATGGAGAAGAGTTACAGAAGCAGCAGGGGCAGTGCTAGTCCAAATCGTTCAAGTCCATCGCCTCGCTCTGGTAGTAATACAATTCAGTCAAGGGGAAGGCCATCTTCTGCACGTAACTCTAGTCCAACTCCTAGTCAACGACCCGCCACCCCATTACACAGGCCATCTACTCCTTCACCAAATAAAGCCTCACCACCTGCCCCAAGGTCTTCTACACCAACTCCAAGGAGGGCGAGCACAGGGTCAGCGACAAGAGGAGTTTCTCCAATACGGACTACTACAAGGGGGAATTCTGTTTCTCCTAAAGTGAGGGCATGGCAGTCAAATATACCTGGTTTCTCCTCTGAAGCACCACCTAATCTTCGTACTTCTCTGGGCGATCGACCAGCATCATACGTGAGGGGCACCTCGCCAGCATCTAGGAATGGAAGAGACTCAAGCTCAAGAGTTGGCAGGCAATCGATGTCTCCAACTGCTTCTAGAAATGCCAGTTCTTCACACAGTCAAGATCGAGATAGAATAAGTTCATACAGCAGAGGTTCTGTTGCCTCATCTGGTGATGATGATGTGGACTCTTTACAGTCCCTTCATGTGGGCAGCTTAGATCGATTAGCATCCAGAAGAGTTGGTGCGATTTCGAGCAGCAAAGTGTCAGCAACATTGCCAAAGAAGCCAGCTAGAACATTCTCCCCAAGTTCTGCTCCAAAACGGTCCTTTGACTCTGCAATTCGTCAAATGGTATCTCTCATTGTCTTCTCTAATTAAACTCTTCATCAATATCACAGTATCAGAGAGGGGTTTTGTTTCTTTCGGGCTTTCACCTTCTCAATTACAAGCGTTCCTTTCATGCATAGTTATGCAGAAGTTTGAGTTGATTAAGCTGTACTTCTTTAGGGCACTTGACTGTGCATAAAACCTTGTACAATCTGTAAATGTATCCATTTACATGATATTTTACCCTAATCCTATGCAATGTACATTCAGTAGATAGTGCCCATAAGCCTTCACCACCATAAGTCCACTTGTCATCCACAATATTAAATTAAAACTCGTTTTGTCCCTTAAAACTTAATCCTGTAGCTTATTGTCAATTAACACTTGTCATCCACCCAAACAGGGTGTAAAATGTTAAAATTATCCGCCCTTTAACACGGATGGGAGATAGCCAAACCTTTTTAGATCCTTGCCATGTGTCAATTTCTACATTGTCAATTATGACCTTGTTAGTTGAAAGGTGGCCTTGGTTAGGTTTCCATCTTAGTCTTTCTTGTCTCTCGTATTTGCTGTATGCGATACAGTTAGCTTGTCTTAACGTTTCAAAGGTAAAAGGAAGAAAAGAGGAGATCCGTTGTGATGAAAAGTTGGACGATTGAATTGACACATAGGTTTTACATCGGTCCAGTCGTTGAGTTGGTAAAAGGAATTAAACTCTATATAAACAAAAACATAATAGTAGTAAAAGTGTGGCCTTGGTCAACTGTTATATGGATGATCAGTTCAGTCAACAGTTCCGCCAGCTTGGGAAGTCCATATGTTTGACTGGTGTTGTTTGCAGTGTTTAAATGTTTAGGGTGGCTAATTGAGCCTAAAATATTTTTCTGATGGGTCTTTCTGCTTTCTCTTCCTTTTTGTTTTTGAAGGATCATCGGAAAAGTCCACAGAATATGTTTAGGCCTCTGCTGTCAAGTGTCCCAAGTACCACCTTTTACACTGGAAAAGGAAGTACTGCCCAACGCTCATTGGTGTCTAGGACTTCTTCAGTTACAACCAGTAGTAATGCAAGCTCCGATCATGGAGGTAGTGCTGCAATTGATACTGAAGGAAGTGACCGCCTTCATGATGATGTGGTGGTTGAAAGTGGGAAAGACCTATATTTGACTGTTCAGGAAGATATATTTGCCTTTGATAGGGCAGATGACCTAAATAAAGATGTTGGGCATGTCATAGAGGATTTGGTGCCTCAGTCTCAGCTTCAAGATCTTGATAGAGATCTTGCAGTTAGGAGTGAGGATGGGGACTTTGAAGAGTTAAGCCACCGACATGTTGATATGGAAGTCGGTTCTCCATCTGACACTTCATGTGCAAGGACTTTCTCAGAAGTTGACAGTTTGAATAACCTTGGAAACTTGAAGATTTGTTCTAGGTGTGGTTGCAAATACAATGATGTCGAGGCATTGGAGACCTGCATCAATCTGTGTGTATACTGCAGCAAACAAGACACTATAATAACTACTGAGAACCGTCTGCAATTGTCCGTTAGTAAAGGCAAAGAAGGGAGTACAAAGATGGATGAATCAGAGCTAGATTCTGCTGTAACGGAGCTGCGATCCCAAACTGACAATGCGAGTTATGTTAGTGATAGTGTCCTGCATGAAGTCTTAGGCAAGCAAATTGATAATTCAAGCAATGAGCAGAGCCTTATGGACCCACAAGTAGAGTGGTTTGTTGCTATGTCAGCAGAAGAGGGAGATAAGCAGAAGATGGTCGGCAAGAAAGTAACTAAGGAACCAACTCTTGGCCGCAGCTTCTCCGATATTGTCACTGGAAGTCAGCAATTGTCAAACTGCAATGAATTCCGTACCTTGAAAGTTGATCTTGTCGAAGGTGCTGGCATTTCTGTAGTACTAAAGAAATCCAGCAGCAGTAAAGGGCCTGTTTTCCAAGGCAGGAGTTTTACAGCCTCTACCCTTAGTTATGATGACGTGTCTTACACTCGAGACAGTGCATACAGTTTGAGAAGCTCCTTCGGCCATGGTAGCACATCTGGATCGTCTTCTGTCGATCTCTCCTCATCAGTTAGGCAAATTGAGACCACCCGATTGCAGCGGCAATTGAGTGGGAAGAAATCTGATATTGAAGGCACTAGACCTCAAAGTAGTGGGTCATCGTTTTCTGGGTCTCTTAATAATCTTGCTCGTCAAGCCTCAGACCTTGTGACTAGTACAGGTGAGGAGAGTGTTTCAGGTTCTCAAGATAACGAAGTGGAAGCCCCGAATTTGTATTCTTCCACTGGTCAACCGATTTCCGAGGAAACTTTATGTGAGAGAACAGACAACAGCAGGACCATGGATGCTTCTACATCACAGTTTGAAGAGCATTCTGAATCATATTCCACTTCGAAGAGCGTCCCGTTGTATGGAAATGAGGTAGAGTATCAAGACAATGCAAGAAATATCTCAGATACAGATGCATCGTCTCCCTTAGAGTCCTCAGTTGAAGCAGAAAATGGCATCACTAACACGAGTGTCGATCACAATCATACTCCCGAGGTTCCCAGTCACAGTCGGCTGGCATCAATATCAGAGATTGAAAGTGAGGATCACGGTCAAAGTCCTCCATGCTCAGAATTAAATGATCTTTCTGCAAACTTGAGAAGTATGACAGACGGATTTGAGGATCCTTCAGTTTCTGCACCATCAGATAAAGATGCCACTGCTTCCGTCCTGCAAACCAACTCTTCAGATCACGAACTTCGTGTTCTAGGTATTTGTTCCTCTCTTCTTCCCATATTGCGTTTTGTTGATATGTGAAGGGTTAATTACATTTGTTATTTGTAGTGTCGGTACGTAGTATGCCATCTTGACAAACACGTCATGTACTATTATTTTACACTAACTCATCCCTGTGCTTTCACTTATCGACTTTTTTTGTCACTTTTTACATGTGCTGTTACGAATGAACCTATTGACTTTCCATGTCTATTGAATATTGATGTTTTGTTTCTCAATCGACTCTTAAATTTCACTGTCCTATCTTGTTCTTTTGATATGTATGTCATATGGGACTTAATGGGGCGAAGATTACGATCAGATCTTCATCATGCATGGCTTTTGACTTGTGAATTTATTTAGTTTATAGTACAATGACATTTTTTGTTAAAGCAACATAGTACGTGGACAAATGTCATTAACCCATTACAATGAACATTTATGATAATGTCTCTTCAGTTATGGTTAGGGCGTGCAACAATTTGATTCATATTGGACTGACTTAGTTTGGTTTTGATTCTTTGTTCCTCTAGCGAAACAAATTGGACTCGATCGAATCTAAACGAGATCACTTCTTCAGTTATCGTTTCCCACTTTTCTGTTATCCAGTGCCGATTCTTCTGACATTTCAAGTTTCTTTTTTGCCAGATGAATCCACTGTGATGGTGGAATGTCACGGAGGGAACAAGGTGGGGAGAAGCCTAACCCTCGAAGAAGCTACCGATACCATACTCTTCTGTAGCTCCATTGTCCACGACCTGGCTTATCAAGCTGCAACAATAGCCATTGAAAAAGAACTCTCAGTCCCATTGGAAGATACACGGCCAACAGTTACCATCTTGGGGAAATCCACTCCTGATAGAAAGGATACCCGCGTTGGTGGAAGAACCAGACGGAGCTTAAAACCTTCCAAAGTGAAGCAGCAGCAGAAGCAAGTAGATGCCTCCGTGAAAAGCCCTTCCTCTGTGAAGGTAGTAGAGAATGACGAGAATGCGGACGATTCCATGGTGCGGAACGTCGGTCTTCCTAATAGAATGGATAGTTCGAAGCCTCCAAAGCTGGAATCCAAGTGCAATTGCACAATAATGTGAAGGAATGAAAGTCTAGCTCTGGTTTCTGTATGTTGATTAGAAATGGCTTCTCTTTATTTTTGGGGTGGGTTTGAAGTGAAAGATCGCCAATTGATTTTCCAAATTTATTTGTAAGAAAAAAGCACAAAAATTGATGTGTTTGTTGGGTAACATAAGCTGTAAAGTTTCTTGTATTTGTTGTTAGGTTGATTGTTAGCGGAATGAGTAAAAAAGAAAAGAAAAGAAGGCAGTTGCCACTTGTGGTTTGTTCTAGCTTGTGACTTGGGTAAGCTTCACTTGATGAGTGTAATGATTGTGAGAAGTTTTGGCTTGGATTCAAAGATTTCTAGCTAGGGTATGGAGATGACATGTTTGTATGACATGTTTGTCTGCTTCGTAGTTTGCTTTCTCTAGGCGGTCATTGGTAGGGATGACAATTTTATTCAAACACATGAGTGTATCCTTACCCAACCCAGTTGGCTCATTGCCATTGGTGGTTTGGTGCATGTAATGATAGTGTTGTAGAGGCATACCGACAATCGTGGTAGTTGTTGTGCCTCGTGCTCGTGAAGGTGATCGTTTTGATGTGTTGCTTGTGTCGATGGTGTTGACGGCTGGAGAAAAAGACGTGAATTAACTCAGAGCATTGACGGCCAGTGGTGACCACTCTAGACCACGGTTCAGCCCTCCTCTAGATCCGAAATTAGTATAGCGCTTATAAAATTTGTTGATTTTAAGCATTCGGGCTAGTGTTATTTTATAATAAGATTGTTTGTAACTAGAAAAAATGTTCAGATGAACATATTCGAATAACTACTTTAAATTTGGCTTAGAAATACTAGTCTCAGTAATTTTTCATTGAAAAATAGAACAATGAAATCTAAAACTTTAAAAGTCTAAAACATACAGGACTAAAAGAAATATGACCCCTTGCAAAATTACTATAGAAGCTGGCTGAAATAAGGATGGACAAAGTATACAAATTGATTTGTCAGTTGATTCGTCCTGTGTTGATGTTGTCCGTTTTAACTATTACTACAAAGAGAACCTTTTCAATAATGAAACATGTCAAAATTGATTTCCACAACAAAATGACCGATGAATTTTTTGTTGATTGCTTAATTATTTTATTTGAAAAATAGAGTATGCTATTGCCTATTGGTATGGATGGAGACTCCATTACTGTTGAATTCGCTAAACTAAAAGAGCGTCGTGTACAATTGACAATGTAAAGAAAATTATGGTCATTATATTTTTTTATATGTATATCATTTTTCATTAAAATGCGGCTCAGTGCTCTGCTATGTTCTGGATCCATCACTGGATCCAAGCTGCTCTTCAGCGCCTTCACCAACGGCTTGCAATCTGGGAAGATCGTAGCAGGACCATGGTCACTAACCTCCAATTTACATGCTTCTAAGAGAGCTTAAGCCTTGGCCTGAATCGGGGAATAACAGATGCCCCTCCCCTCAACACCTCCCTTTGCCACTAAGTTTAAGTTCAAATTAAGGGTGTCCATTTGGGACGGGATCGGTTACCCAAACCGAAACCCGATAAAACTCGAAAAAACAAACCCAAATCAGTAAAAACGAACCCAAAATCGATAAGGAATTTCGGTATTAGTTACCCAAAACCCGAAAGTTCCTTATTAGGTTCGATTAAAGCAAAACCAAAACTCGAAAAATCAAACCCTAAGGATATGACCCAACTGGTATTCCTTAAGGGTTTTCAGCCGAACCCCAAAAACCAATAAGCAAAACTGGACCCAAAACCGAAAACCCGAAACAAACCCGAATAAGAAAATTCAACAAAGTATCTTATCGGTTTGGTTTCAATTATAACCAAAAAGCGGAACCCAAATGGGCACCCCTAGTTCAACTACTTGTTTGACTACCAGAACTTTTCTTTTTCAGAAAATGAATATAAGGTGCACACTAACGTTTGTTACTATTAAACGAGTTTGAAAATTTTCTATTATAACATGCAGAATGGAAAACGAAAAACACAACTCAATATCTAACTACGTGGCCAATGAAGTCGTTTTCTTTCTTTCGCACTCACTCAGGTAACATGATCGATACTTGTCCATAGAGTATTTTGGGGGGAAATTTATAGATGAATACTTTGTGAAAAAATTAGAAGGTGGTTTGCTTGTTGGATTTGAAATAATACATGAGTTTTGAAAAATTCTGAATTGTGATGGATTTGTTTCATTGAGGAAGGTGGGTTTGCTCCACTCTTGTGCACGTAACCTGCACGTGAATCAGGAAACTGCCACCTTGATTGCATCTGGCATGCTGGAAAGTTTCAGAATAAATCCACACTGGCTCCAGATAAGATTATGGCGGAAGTTAAGTTGAAGCACAACATGGAGGTGAAGAAAAGAACGTGTTACATGACAAAACTAGCAACTATTAGAATGTTGAGTGGGTCTTTAATGGCCGAGTTTCACAATATAAGGAGTTATGTTGCTGAGATGGTGAAACGGGATTGACGTGGGAGATTTGTTTTCGAGGTAGAACCGCACCCTAGTCAAGATAAGGTCTTCTTTCAGAGGCTGTATGTTGAGTTCTCAAACATGAGGGACATATGTCTTGATGTTTGTCGTCCAATGTTTGGTTTGGATGATTGTTTCTTGAAGGGGGAGGTGAAAGAGATGCTTCTTACTGTTGTAGGGAAGGATGTCAACAATAAGATGTATCCACTTACTCGAGCAGTAGTGGAGGGTGAAAACGCAAATCCGTGGAGGTGGTTTGTGAACATTTTGTCCAAACAATTGAACATGTAGATGGTTCGGGGGGAATGTCATCTCTGATCAGCCAAAGGTTCTTTTACCATTATGGTATTCGAGTTAGTTAAATTTAGTTTGTTCCATTAACCCTCCACTATTGTTCATATTTGTTGTTTTAGGGGTTAGTTGATACTCTACGTGAAGTTGTTACCAGAAGCTAAACATCGAAAGTGTGCAAGACACGTCTATGCAAGATGGAAGACTAAAAACAAGACAAATCGGGTGCGTAAGTGTTTTTGGATGTGTGTTTATGCTCGTAATGAAGTCGATTGGAAGAAGGTGACAAAAGAAATTGAGGAGATTCAATGTACTGATCCATTTAATACACCCTTTACGGACTTCATGGATGTTGAACCTTGATACTTCTACCGAGCCTTCCTGTTTCTTGTTCCTAAGTGTGACTTAGTTGAGAGTAACATTCGTGAAACGCGGAACATATAAATTATTAAGTTTAGGGGGAAAAGAATCATTGATATGCTTGAGGGTATTAAGGGTTACACGATGGAGAGGGTTGTGATTACTACTAGGTACCAAATGAGAGAGAAAGAGTATAGTGGCAGAGGGACACACACTGGAAGAGGTGAGCAAAGGAGGCGACTACGGCGTCAGTGGATGAGGCTGGCGATAGAGGAGGCCGACTAGAGAGAGAGAGAGAGAGATAGCAGAGACAGGGGTGGAGGGAGGCGTGCGGAGGGCGCGACAGGAGGTGGAGTGAGGCAGAGGAGGATCACGAGACTGGGGTTGAGGGACGTGGCGGTAGTGAGCACGACAGGTGTGCAGCAGCCAGCAGGCCATGACACCAGGGGGTACAGAGCCATATGTGGGAGAGAGGGAAGAGTTAGGGTTTTTTCATTTATATGGGGGGATCAATGATTGAGTATGGTAAATTTTTTTCATTCCAAAAATATCCTTCTTTTAATCTTAACCATTGATTTAAAAAATAAGAGACAGGAGAAAGAACATATCCGATGGCTACAAAGTGGATTGTGAATCTCACAAACCTTAGAGGGTTGTGAAAGTATCTCACCGGGTTCATAGAGTTCTTTCTTTTTTAATTTCAGTTTTCTACTTTTCCCTTTATAATAACCGTAATTTTCATCGTTAATCAATCAGCTTACATAGTTATATTATCATTTGAAATCAGATATGGACAAGTATTTGATAAAAAGACCGATGATTAAGCCTAATCCGAATAATGATAGTGAAGAATCGAGCAAAAACCAACATGTTGAAGCTCAATCTTCTTCACCTTCGTTGAATCAAACTGCTACCCCCTTCAAGTAAGTCTCCTTCTAAACCTACAGAATATGAGATAGATGATCTGAATAGTTTGGAAGCTGATCCAGGGTTAAGGAGAAAGTTTTCAACTTTTCCTGCTAATAAGCAAGATGAAATCAAAAGAGCGTATGTTCAAAAGGGGACATATCAACTAATAGGTTATACTTTCCCTATTACAGAGCGGATTTAATCGCAAATTCAATCCTGTTTGGTATGTTGATTATAAAACATGGCTAGAATATAGTGGTGCGAAAGATGCTTTATATTGCCTACCTTGCTATTTGTTTACATCAAGTGTTGGTAAATCAGGTGGAGGAGAAGCTTTCATTAGTCAAGGTGTTAAATGTTGGAATAGAAAAATGGCTTTGGATGATTACGTGGGTGGACCAAATAGTTCTCTCAATGTGGCCAAGAAAGGTGAAGATTTGTTGAAACAGTCACAGAGCATTTCAAGTGATTAATAAGACAATCAAATAAAGCTAAAAGGGACTATTGAACACGTTTGTAAGCCTCAATTACTACAGCTAAGGTTCTTCTACGACAAGGAGTGTCATTTCGTGGGCATGATGAAAGTGAATTCTCGAAAAACAAAGGAAACATTCATGAATTTTTGGAAGTTATTGCTAATGAGAACCAGGATGTGCGAAGTGTTGTGTTGGAAAATGCTCCAAAAAATCTTCAATTGACATCAGTGGCGGACCCAGGATTGCCGAAGAGGGGTATCGCCGAAAAAAATAAAAAATAAATAAAAATTATTAGAAATTAATTCATAAGTTCATAATGTCACGTTTACAACGAACCACGACGACTTTTCATATCTGAAATGTTTCTAGAATACATTCATCGCTTAAGTTGCAAAATATAGCTTTTTCAATATACACAACTAAACAATCATTCATAAATTGGTCACTCAACCGATTCCGAAGATCGTTCTTGATGATCTTCATAGCTGAAAATGCTCTTTCACAGCTTGCAGTTGCAACAGGTAAAGTCAACACCAACTTCAGAAGCAAGAAAACTAAAGGATATAAAGTATCATTTTCTCTCTCCACCAATTTCTAGCTAGCTCGTCGATTCCCCGCAATCCATCAAAGCTCTTATCTTCCTTGACATGAGAAATGTAGCCCCTTAATTGTTGATCAAGTCTTGAGTGCATATTGGATGGGAATTCCTCAGGATAAAACTCAGTAAGACTCATCAACTTTGCTTTATCAAAAGCAGCAAAAGAGTTAGTTGGACTAAAGCAAGAAATGCAGTCCAACAATCGAGTATTCACCTCACCAAATCGAGTATTCAATTCTTGCAATTGCATATCAATGACTTCATAAAATAGCTCGACTTGATAGTGATGCAAGTTTGTGGGCTGATGAGGGGTACTACGCCTTGTTCTTCCAGCAAGAGTGAACAAGTCATTCATATTAGGAAAATTAATTTGCTCCTTAATGCAGAATGAAATCACATCATCAAGTAGAGGCTCCCATCCTACATCTCTCAACTCTTGGAATCTCTTCTTTGAACACCTAATTAGTTCCATAGCATTAACAAGATCTTGATCTTTCCTTTGTAATGCTATAGACAACTCATTTGTTATTGCAAGCACTTCAATCATCAACTTCATGTGAAAGACAAACTCAAAAGTTTGAATTTGAAGTAGAGAACTAATGGCTTTACCTTGTATCTCCGGTGAACAACCACACTGTATCTCATTCAATACATCAACCACTGAACTGAACATGTCCATAAGATTTGTAAGTGCCCCAAGATGAGATCCCCAACAAGTATCACCAGGCCTTTTCAAGCCAATTTGTTGATTCAATCCTTGTCCACTCTCTAGATCACCAACAGATAAAGCCTCAATAACTCTTGTAGCATGCTTATCTCGAAGAGAATCAACCCTCTTAGGTGATCCCCCAATGACATTGAGCAATAAAGTAAAATGCTCAAAGAAACGATTATTGAGCACATGATTTCTTGCAACAACAACTAATGTCAACTGAAGTTGATGAGCAAAGCAATGAATGTAATAAGCAGATGAATTCTCAGCCAAGATCAAGGATTTCAATCCATTGATTTCACCTCTCATGTTACTAGCCCATCATATCCTTGCCCCCTCACCCTTGACAAACTTAGCCCATGCAATGCAAGAATTGATTCAATCTCCTTCTTGAGTGTAGAAGTTGGAAGTTGGAAGGAGATGTCACTTGTTGAAGGAGTGCTGCCGGCCAGCTTGAATGATTGGCTGCCTGCGATGCGGCAGTCGCCGCTGGCACAAGTCGGAAGAGGCGGGCAGCAGGCGCATCTATCTTCCTCTCCTCTCGGCTCTCGCACTCGCAGTAAAAAACAGAGGCAATTCCAGGTTTAATGGGAAAAGGGGTGGGTGGGTCTCTCGCCTCTGTAGTCTTTAGAATAGATAGGTTTTTTTTTTTTTTAATAATCAAATGGGTAAAATGGAGGGTTGGAATGCAGCGTTTGTTAATGGGGGGTTATAACTATTTTTTTTATAACGTTAATGGGGGTTATATGGGGTGCTTTACTGCTGTTTGTGTGTGGGGTGGAATTTTATGGTGATGGGTTATTTAGATTAAACCAAAATTATTTTACTTATTATGAATAATTAAAAATTAAGATGAATACATTTATAACAATAAATAATTTCTAGTATAATGAATGGGTTCGTCTATAATTATTAGAGCGGTGTCGGAAATTTCGTATTAAAATTTTTTGTACCGAAAAAATATAGGTCCGTCACAAAAATTCTGGGCGAAGGGGTGTCGGACGACACCCCTAGCCAACACACAGGTCCGCCCCTGATTGACATCTCCAAAGATTCAACAGGATATTGTTCATGCAATAGCATCTCTAACAATAAAGGAGATTATCAAAGATCTTAGAGATGCATTTTTTTGTATATTGGTGGATGAATCTCGTGAGGTATCAATCCTGAGTGAGTTGATCTCATAATGTTAGGGTAGTGAATCGATCGAGCCAGGAGGTACCCAATATCGATCCAAAAGATATAACTAGGGGGATTCAAATCTAAGAGAGCTCCATCCCTTGCAATTAGCTAGGTTAGTGGTTAGTTAGATTAGTTAGTTTAGTTTTCCTAATCACTATTCTAGGTTGGCTAGTTAACGAAACCTAACCCAAAGTAAGGTAAGCCTAAATTCTCGTGGTTGGATAAATTTTATTGCTTATTTGCCCTATACTACACTCTGTCGTCGATTATACTTGCCATAGATTGAAAAGTGTAGCTAGAGGCGAGTTAGTATGCTGTAATTTGCCCAAAACTCATACCCAAAGAGTCTAGGTCTCTGTCACCGCCTCTCCTCTGTCCTGCTCCTCTTCGTCTTGTCAAAGAAGAAAAAGTCGCTGTCGCCGCTGCCTCAAGCTCTTTACCAACGATGTTACTCTGCCCTGTTGGAGAAAAGGTTTCCAAATCGTCGTCTCCGAGGACCCTACATCGGCCACCGACGGAAAAAAAACTTGAAGTGAGGGAGTTAAGATGCGACTGTGAAAGAGATCTAGAGAGATCAAGAGAGGTAAGACGTGGGTTTAGACTGGGGAGTTGGTCGTCGAAGGAGATTACAGGGAAGGGTAGGGACAAGGGGCTCAAGATAGGGTGCATAACCCATGGTTATGCACCCATCAATAACCAAATCTGGACCCTTCATTTAGAAAATCCAGATCTAAGGATGGAGAATTAAAGGCTATTTTTATTTTCACTAGCTTTCTTAATTGACTCATATCTTTTTCGTTTTAACTCGGATTTTAATTTTTTTTGCACAGATGGAACGAGTTCACCGTGCTCTACAAAATGAGATCAATTTTCAATATTTTTTTAGGAAAAAAAATTCTGGCCTCTCGGTACCAACTGCATACCATATGGTATCTTCTTCGTTTTTAATTTGTTTTTGAAAACGTTTGCACAGCAGGGATGAGTTCATCATGATCTACTAGATCTACAAATTTCTGGGTGAACAAATTACAGGACCAAAAAATACCACACAATACCATACAATACCACCCTGGTACGGGGTGGTATTGTATGGTATTTTCTTCGTTTTTAATTCGTTTTTGAAAACGTTTGCACAGAAGGGACGAGTTCATCATGATCTATTGGATCTACAAATTTCTGGGTGAACAATTACAGGACCAAAAAATACCACACAATACCATACAATACCACCCCGTACCAGGGTGGTATTGTGTGGTATACAATGTTAAAAGTCATAAATTACAATTAATATACTTCTACTATCATGTATTCAACCATCCTACAGTATTGGTTTGTTCATACCACCATGGTACGTTTTTCAAAACATAGGTATGCTTTTATTTCAATACCAGTCGATACCATATGGTATAAGCTGGTAAAAAATGGCTCAATTTTTTTTGTTCGAAAAATATATTAAAGTGGATATCATTTTGAAGAGCACAATTAATCTTACCTAACTGTGCAAAAAAAATTAAATTTCGACTTAAAATGAGCAAGAAATCGTCCGCCAAAGATTAAAGAGGGAAAAATTAAAGGCTTTCCATGAGAGAGAGGATGCTGATGTCATGCTGATGTGGACGGGTTACTCATGGTTACTCACCATAAGGTTACTGATCCATTCCCGGGACAAGGAGGAGAAGGGTGAAAGGGCAAAATTTATTAATTTGAGAATGATCTAATTTATTTGTATTTTTGTGGAAAAAATTGGGGATTTTCTTAAAAGTTTACGTAAAACTATTAATTATATGTTTTTATGACCTGGCGTTTACATGGACGATACATAGACATCATTTCTTGAATGGTTACTTGGTTAGACAAAAATTGATCTTCGTTAGATACATTGTTAGTTCTAACTTCCAACAATCAACATAAATTCGATTAACACAAATGACGGAGACTTCCAATGATTTTAAATATTAATGTATTTATTAAAGTTACCTAGTATAAATGACATAGTTGCTGAAAATTAGTTTTTTAGTAAGGATGACAAAAATATCCGTAACTGTAGGTATCCGCCCGAATCCGACCTAATTGAGTAGGATAAAACCCAAACCCGAAGAATTTTTAGTGGGTACGGGTAAAACCCGATATTGCGGGTAATGGATGGATACGATTTTGTCACTTTCCAACCCGAACCCGACCGATTATACACATGCATATATATTTTGTCTAGAAATAATCATGATTTTTCTCTAACATATTTTATATTTAGCATAGAATATAATATTTACATGAAATCATGTTGTTTTATTTAAATTTTTTCTCATTTTAGTGAGTTATTGTCATACCTTTTCTTTTGTATGATGTGAAAATAGTGAATGTTAACATATTGGTTGAAGTTATAAAGATAAATTATTACTCATAAATAACTCTAGATACCCAAACTCGAACGAATATGATTATATGAACATAATTTCGATTTTCTACACGTTTCTTATGTGGATATGAATATTAGTATAACCCGAATAGGGATGGCAATTATGCCCATACCCATGGGTATTTTACTATCCAACCCAATTGGGTTGGGTATGAAATCCAAATATATGGGTATGGGTAAAGTTTGATGGGTTTGTACCCATACCCATTTACTTTGGGTTGGGTTGGGTTTATAACAAATGGATTTGGGTTTGTACCCATGCCCAAATACAAATTACAGTTTGGTACCTAAACTTAATAGATATGCATATTTAGTACCTAAATTTAATTTTTTTTGCATATAAGTCCTCAACATATCGATGGAAAATTACGTTTTGGTACCTAAATTTTTTTGGTCTTACATTTTGGTACCTAAAATTTTTAAGTTTTACAAATAAGTCCAATTTTTGCATGTGTAGTTAAGACACCCTCAAGTAAATGGATATCCATATCCAACCCATACCCATTTAGATATATCCATATCTAACCCAAACCCATATACAAACCCCAAACCCATACACACATCACCCAAACCCTACCCATAATAGATGGGTCTACTTGGGTTTGGGCAAAATTACCCATGGATGGGTAAATTGCAATCCCTAAACCAGAACTACATTGGATAATGTAATATCTGAGCGGGCCCTACCCGTTGCCATCACTTTTAGTGATACAGATATGCACCCTAATCTAGTTGAAAAAGAAAATGAACGTCTATTTTGCGGGTTTGTGCTGCGCATCAGATGGGTATATTCGCGACATAATTTGATGAGACATAGCTCCGCGATTGGCATATTCACTCAGTTTGCGGCTTTGCGCACAGAAACGGAAAAAGCCCCAACTCTGCCTGTTGCGATCCCCGTTAGCCGGACCGACTGCACCAAGGAGAAGGCGCGAGAAGCAGTCACTGATTTGGGGGCAACCAAAGGAAGCTTCAAGCAATCATAGAAGAACCCTAGAGAAAGCTAAATCATAATTCCTTCTGGGCTTTCTCTTACTTTTTTTTTTCTCCTAAGCAACCAACACACTTTCCTTCTTCCCTCCGGCCTCGACGGCGGCTGTTTGTATCAGGCTATCAGCCACGCTTTCGGCTGTATATATCGAAAGGGAGAGACGGGGAGAGAAATTGAAGTGGGTTTTCCGGGTTTGGGAAAGGTTGGAAACGACCGGGAGATGAGGATGGGGGATGCCGGCGATTCGAGGTCGTTAAATCAGACCGATGTGTCTTCTTCTTCTTACTCATCCACCATTTTCACTAATTACCCGCTAATTGCTTCAATTGTCGCATTCACAATTGCGCAATCTACCAAGTTCATCACCTTCTGGTACGTTCATATTTTACTGTTTTCCCGTCGCGGGGCCATTTTGATTTGTTTGGTAGCTTTTCAGGAGCTGGGTTTGTATTCTTTCAGAAAAAAGCTATGGTCTTTGAGTTCGCTTGTGCTTTGAATATGTTACCGCTGAATTGAATTTTTCCTTTATGATTTCTTGTTAGAATGAATGGTCTGTCTACTTTCCGGCATGATTGATAGATCTTGAGAACGGGATGGAAGTGAATGGAATTTTTGCTTGTGCTTTGAATATGTTACCACTCAATTGACTTGATTATATGATCTCCTGTTAGAATGCGAACCCTTTTAATGGTCTGTCTACTTTCTGGCAATCTTTGGCGGCATGATTGATAGATTTTGAGAATGGAATGGAATTTAGTTTGGTACATGAATGAAACTAACTACCAGTCACCCAAGAAAAAGAAAGAGAATTAGTTGGTGAAAATATCTTGAGCATCCTCTAACCTAAAAACCTTTTGTAGCCATCCAATCAAGCTGATGAAGTTGTTCTGTGAATCGATCGTGTATGCACTTGTCGCTTTTGAACAGATAAGCTATTGGGAGCTATCGATATCTGCATTTGTGTCTCCATAAGAGACACCGGAAACCCTTTTTAGCTATCTGCACTAAGCTTTTCTTGTTGGTACGTCGGGTTGTTGATTTGTTTAGCTTATCTTTTAAGCGGCTTAAGGTTCCCTTAGATATGCAGGTACAGGGAAAAACGATGGGATTTGAAGCTGCTCATTGGATCTGGTGGAATGCCATCTTCCCATTCCGCGACTGTGTCTACTCTCGCCATGGCCATTGGGTTCCAGGAAGGCTTTGGAGGATCGCTTTTCGCAGCTGCATTGATCTTAGCTTGCATTGTAAGATTCGTCCCTTCAATTGTAATGCAAAATAAAAGAGGCGAGAGTTCTTTATTGATGTGTATTTATTTGGTTGGCAGGTGATGTATGATGCAACTGGTGTAAGACTACAAGCTGGACGCCAAGCTGAGGTTTCGAATGCTCTAATCTAGTCCCTCGTGTACAATTGGTGGTAATCAATCCCAATTACTAGTTAATCTAATGAGTTTTATTGCTTCAGGTCTTGAATCAAATTGTATATGAACTGCCTGCTGAGCATCCTTTGGCTGAGAGCATACCTCTACGCGAGCTTCTTGGTCACACTCCTGCTCAGGTAATAATACCACACATTACTTAATGCTTATGTTGTAGCTCTCCAGAGAATTTTGAGGGTTTGCGAAGAATGGGGATGGTCATTATGAGACTGGTAGACTGCTGAGCACAATCTCGAGTCTGTAGTGCTTACCTTTGTGGGTTTATCTATGGTGATTGATAGGTAGTGGCTGGTTGTTTGCTTGGAGTTGTCACGGCGATCATTGGTCATCTAATCACAATGCCGACTAGTCAAAGCTGATACAAGTCCAGGAAGATATTACACTTTCCCCCAGAGCACATCAAAGAAGCTAAAGTTCAGCTCACAAGACATGGGTCTTTGGAATTTGAAAGAAGCTCTGTGCTGGAAAAAGGTTTGACAGACATGAATGAGGTAATTCGGATGTGGTATTTGAAAAATGAAGGATTGTATTTTATTATAGGATTTAGAAAGTAAAGAATTGGTGTTGGATTAGGACAAATTTTGTTTTCTTACCTTTGGTCTTTTTTTATGTTGGATTTGGGTCATTATTATATGTGTGAAATGTAAGCAAAATGGTAGGGAAAATAGAGGATTTGCCAAATCTCACTGGACGATGTGGCAATTCACCCTTGTTGAACTTCGTGTTTGACTTGATCTAAACTACACTAAGGTGAAGTATAACCAATGACGGGGTGTAGCATAATGGAGTAAAGTAATAAAGTTATCGAAATCTATGGTTTCTAGGTGTACCGTTACTCCTCTTCAATTTGTTACTCCTCTTCAATTTGTTATCTCTCAAGACAAGATTTGAGATTAAGAAAGTAAACTAACTAAACTACTCTAACAACTACACTAACTAATTACTTGAGAGCCCACTTAGGCATGGACTCCTCCTAACCACTAATCCGATTAATGATCGACGACCCACTAACTTGATTCATTATTCATCATATTGCGGAGGAACCTTGACTAGACCTTTATTTGAGCAATCAAGACCCTCTTGAGTGAGTTTCTTAGCGGGTCGTAACCTTCTTAAAAAAAACTGATCTAGGCGTTCGACACTAGACGCCCTTTGGGTGAGATTCTCACACAATACAAAGCAAAGACACGACTCACGCTATTGCAATCGACCCCTTACTCCCAATCTATGGTGCTCTATTGCCCTAATAAAATTTTCTCTCAGCTAGGGTCAAAGTATAGTCAATAATCTTGATCAAGGAAGAATCGAACATCAAAAAATGCATAGATTGGATATGAACTCAAGAATATCAAGATAGAATACTCATACAGTGATTCAATCAAGCTAAACATGGCTAGGGTTCATAAAAATCTAAGTGAAGGAGAACTATTTCATAGAGAGGGGGGAAAATACAATATAAAGCTGAAGATCTTCAATCTTCATGTCTATGCTTGATCGTCTGGCTCCAATGATGATGGTTACCTCCAATAACCCTCCTAGACCGCTATCCTTCTTTTGGGAATGTCCCTTGGGTATTTTTGTTCGAAAACCCAACTATCCTCTCTTAAAAATTGCATTAGCAACTTTAGACCTGCAAAGTTTCCCGACTCACAACCTCATGTCATTGTCATGGCATCGACTAAAAACGGTACGAATTGATGAGCAACAGACTGTGTTAGCTCGCCAGTGATTTTCCAAGTCCATTTCTGGCACACGTCATAGTTGGATTGTGCATGTCACGGCCAGGTCATGACTTTTGCAAGTCAGACCATGGCTTATGTAAAGCCTATTGCCTTTGTGCTCATCTCACCCCCTGATTGTCGAACGTCACCCATTGGCGGTGACTTGGGACACTCTACTTTTTGGCTCGTTTTGACCTCAAAATGCCTCGGAACTCGCTCATAAGCTTTCTCCACGTACTAGGACCTAAAATATGACAAAAGAAATGCTACCTAGCGTAAAAATCGGCCAAGGAACGAGTATTTCAAAGTCAATCAATCAATAAATGATAGTCAAAATATGTACTTATCAAAATCCCCACATTTCATTGTTTGCTTATCCATCTAGCAAACCTAACTCCAACCAGTGCAATTCACTAGACTTTCACAATAGTATGCAACCGTGAAGTCGCGGTAGCGGGTCAACTGGCAACATCTGAGTTCAATCGGAGACAAGAAATCTTCCAACTACATCGATTAGAATAACAATATCGAGTTGGGACATTGGAGCCTAGTAGAGAAAAGACAAGTGACTTGTGAATGAAGGGACTCTAAAAAACTTTGAAAACCATGGACTCGTTTTTGGTGCCCTACTTCAAGGGGCTCAAAATTTCGAACCTCGGTTTAGATTTGTCGCGCATTGCAACACACTCTGGTTTCACAAGATTAAGGTATCTATGCAACTAGGCACTAACTCATGACTAGAGCATAAACGAGATTCACTTCTCTATCTAGCCCATGTATGAATGAGGTGCAAAGTGAGGATGGAAAGTAGTAGGAGAGGGTTCGAATGCAAGACGATCCTTAACTCACTTCACACAAAATTTCCCAAAGTGCACTCCCATCCTTTGGTTGGATCTATGACGATGGGCCTAAGTTAATGACGGGTTTCCACATATGTGAGATTTTAAAGAGCAGAGGTATCTCAACTTGAGTAGAAGAAACAATCTCTTCTCTATGAAGTACTTGGAGAAGGAGAGTTATACAGGAGGATGGATAGTGTTAGGTGAGGGTTCGGAAACAATATTATTGTCTCCTTTACACATCTTCAAAGCGCAAACCAATTTTAGATTAACCCTTCGGCGGATTTACTAAGTACTTTGTCCGGTTGCCACACCATGTGAGCCAGTCTTTAACACATTTAAAATACATTCATTAAAAAATGGAGCAAATTTTTGCAAATTTTTTTTGAATCCACAAGTGTTGAGAGTCACCGACACAAGTGTCCTAACACCAATAATAAAAAATCAACCAAAAAAGTGAGGTGGAGAATAGATTTCTCATAGACCGACATCCTTCATAGCGCTACACTATCCTCCCTAGATCACACTATCATGACGACTAGCAACTCAAAGCACAATAAGTAGGTGGATGCACAGGACAAGGTCCTTCAAAATTTTTAAAATTTGGACATACACAATACTGGGCTGCAAGCACTCACAATCATTGGCCAAACATTCATTCACATGCCATTCATCATACATATTCAACACCCCACCACTTGAGCATGACATTGTCGTCAATGGAGGAAAGATAAGGAAGGTGGAACGAAATTTACGAATGTTGGATGAGACTTGAGGGCACTCCCTGTGGAGTAGAGTAGCTCAGTTAGAAACCACCAAGAAATCTCGAAAGGGGTAGTTTATTCCCACAAAACACACAAAAAATGTCAAGGAAACAAAACAAAGGGAAAGAAATAAAAAAAAACTAAATGTTGGGTTGCATCCCAACTATCGCTTCTTTTATGTCTTAAGCTGGACATGGATGCTTAAGTTTTGGTCCATCCCAAAACCTCCATGAAGTTAAGTTTCTCATCAGTGATGTAGAGGCGCAAGTACAAGCATATGGTGTAAAAAGTGGTGAGGATGGTTCGTGGACTTTTTTATGGGTACTACATTTTTTTTTTGCCATACAATCACTCTTAGAAAGAGGATACGAAACCAATCAACACTTTCCACCATACTTCTCACCTTCTCGCAAATGATTTCATGTTCAGTTCTATCAAATTCCTTTGTCTTCATCTTTCGAATAAGATTCTCGTAATCGCTTTCAATTATCAAGGGAGCAAATCATGGCCCAAGGATTCTTTGACACCATGGTAGAGAGGCCTTGCCTCGACATCTTCCGGGAGAAGATTACGCATTCTCCGCGAGCTAACTGGCCATTCTCGTCTTGGACTATACCTCATATGCCTATCCATCATTACCCAGGATGCCAGCATTAGTGTCAAGCTTGTAGCACCTAGGATTTAAATGTGTAATATCTTTTGGGTTGTGAATCCAAACTCTTTCATCATTAGTAGTGGCTTCATATATATAGGAATCTTTGAAAGGCAAACATGGTCTTCCTCCGTGAGGGTCTTAAGAGATTCAATATCACATGAATTTGTTTCCTAATTTATGAGATTTTTAAGACTATTCAATATCCACTTATCCTTCCATGTCATTATTTTTTCACCATTCCCGACTCTCCATATGAGACCATCTTTTAGTATATCTTTTTCCCACATTAGGCTTCTCCAAACATAGTTGGCATTGTAGCCAACTTGTGCTTGTAAAATATCTATAGATGGATGATAACGAGCTTTTAGGATGCGAGCCACAAGTGAATCGGGTTTAATAAGGATGTTTTGGACCTATTTTGCAAGTAAAACTTTATTAAAAGCTTTTAAATCATGAAATCCTAGTTTCCCATTCTTCTTGTCATCACAGAGTTTGTCCCAACTTATCCAGTGTATTCGTTTTTCCTCGTCTTTTTCTCCCCACCAAACACTTGATATGATGCTCTCTATCTCGTTGAAAATACCTTCTGGTATCTGGAAAACCATCATTGGGTACAAGATTTGGGGTTGGAAAACCGCCTTGATTATGATCTCTTTTTCTGCCGGGACAATGTCCTTGATTTTCAATATTTTAATTTTCATCGAACCCTTTCCTTAAATCCACCAAATATAAGCTTCCGATCCGAGTTCGCAATCCCAAGTATTTCTCATGTTTATCCACTTCTCTAATCCCCAGAATGCATGTTGTCTCTTATCTTCTTCAGAACTGAACTTTCTTGCTAAAAGTCTACTCAGACTTGGTCAAATTGACTTACTGTCCCAACTCTTTCATATATTATGAGACTCCTTTTCAATTTTCCTCACCGTTCTATTGTCCATCTAGCAAAGACAATGTTATCATCAATAAAGAGGAGGTGAGATGCCTGAGGTGCATTTTTACATATTTTAAAATGCATGAATTTCTCCTTTCAATTCAGTAGAGTTGAGAAGTTTTGAAAAACCTTCAACACTAAGGAGGAAAAGGTAGGGAGATGGGGTGTCTCCCTGCCTTAAACCCATGGAAGGACTGAATTCTAGAGATATGTGACCATTTACCAAAAACAATTAAGATACTAATTTTATGTAGACCATCATGAGCCTTATCCTATTCATCGAAACCCACCTTCCTCACTTGTTCAAAAAATCCCATTCCACTTTATTGTAAGCCTTAGCCATATCCAATTTCATAGCAAAGTACCATTTCTTGATGTTACCACATTTCTTCATGTAGTTGAATCATTCAAAATCCGCAATAATATTGTCAAGTACAACCCCCCTTGGAATAAAGTCACTCTGAGCCTCTGAGATAATATTGGGAAGGATCACTTTAAGATGGTTGGCTTGAACTTTAGAAATCAACTTATACAATAATATTGGTCTAAAATCCTTAGATTCTTTAATAGATTTTACCTTTGAAATTAGCATAACGAGTGTGTGATTTAGTTCTGCTGATAGGTTGATTTTGGTAACTTTGGATTTCATAATGTCCCAATTCCATTGAAAGAATCCTGCAGAGAATTCATCAGATCCCGGAGCTTTAGTAGGGTGCATTTGATTTAAGACTGATTCGACCTCCTCTGGTGTGAATGCGCGATTAGATGCTCATTCATGCTTTTTGTGACCTTCTTTCGAACAGCTTCAATGACCAGATTTTAGTTAGTTCTCATCCCTCCTTTGAAAATATTTTGGAAATAGCTATCAATACATTTTGTGACTTCTTCTTGTCCCTTGTATATTATCCCTTATGCATATGAGAGCTTTTTAATTATATTTCTTTTTCGCCTTGCAGTAGCTTTAGCATGATAAATTTTTTGTGTTCTTGTCCCAATCTTTCATCCACTCCACACGACACGAGACCTTTGGTGCCACTTGCACTACTCATTCCACAGCAAATCAGTCTTTTTCGTAACTAGGGTTCTTTTCTAAGCAAGAGCTTGCTCCATTTTAGGGCTTCTCTTGAGTTTCTTAAGATATTTCTCAATCGTAGCAGTCTCTTCTTAATACTTCCAAACTTATCCTTGCTCCAAATCATGAGGGTTGTCTCGGAATTTATCAGTATCCCCATGATGTTATTAGTGTTGTCATTATCAAAAACTCATTATATTATCTTCTTGCTCTCATTGTCTTTGAGCCATAAAGGTTCTACTCTAAAATACCAGCCTCATTTTGTTTCTTCCTTCTCTTATCCATTGGTGTCCAACATTATAGGTTAATGGTCTGATTCCTCCCACTCAATATGAGTAACATTGAACTGTTGAAGAGTTTTTTCCCCAGCTAAGAGTGGTCGCACATCTATTAATTATTTCCTTTATATATCTGCCCTCAACTCTGCATTCTCCCATGTAAAAGGGTATTGTTCGAACCTACAATCAAGGAGTTCATAAAATTCCGAAGATTCCTTGAAAGGCCTTGTTAATCCTGCATCTATCATTCTTACCCCCCCCCCCCCCTTGTCTAGTCTAGCAAGAATTCGATTGAAATCACCAATGCGCGTGCAATACATACTTGTGACACATTTTAAGCTTCTCAGAAGTTCCCACGAGATGTGCGTTTGTCCTTGTTCGGTCTTCCATAGAATCCACTTAGCCTCCACAGGCCATTCTTCAATAAATGTTATGATTACATCAATGTGGTACAACGATTTGATAATATTGTGACTTCAATCTCATCATTCCAAAGAAGTCCCAGGCCTCCAGCTCTCCTATAGCAGCAAATCCCTATTCCTTTTTAAATCCCAAATCATGTCAGACTTTCTACCTTTCTTCATCATCCAGTTTTGTCTCCATGAAGAATAGCATTTGTGGCTCATAAATTCTGACCAGATCCTTCAAATTTGCTACAACTTTTGGGTCAATAGACCTCTGCAATTATAACATGATTTTCATAAGTGGCAAATAAGAAAAAGATAACTGGGAGCAAGGACAAAATCAAGAGGAAGAAAGAGTAGCAGTACAAAAGAGATAAATATCCCAACAGTAAGGACCAAGAAAATCAAGAAGGATGGAAGAAAGAAGAAACTAAAGCACGAGGCGATCAAGCAATTAGGACCAATGAAGAAGAAGAAGAAGAAAACAAAGTGTCACCCACAAAGGGGATTTGAAACGTAAATTCATAGAGGGAGGAAAGGGAAGCCTCTCACAAGACCTCTTCTTTCCTTCTTATTTCTTCTCTTTGCCCCATAACATGTAGCAAGCCATAGATTAACCACCAACGCATCCACCAAGAGGGATCAATGATGATGTGGTATTGGATTTGCAAGAGACACTGTAAACGAGTCCTTCTTAAAAGTGCATCAAGGTCCATGGGGATCTTTGGTAACACTTGTAACTTGTAGAGACTTCATCCACGCGGACCTCATCCATTGATCATACACCAATTGCCTCATCAACCTCCCCTCTTTCTTCAAAAAAAATTTCCTCCCCTTGGGAACAATCAATAGCTTCCTCCTTGGTCTCGCATCTTCCCCCTCAAACTCATCTCTTCTTCCCATACGAGTTCCTCTTGCTCCACACGGTCATCATTGATGGCCTCTTCAATCTTCTCTTCTTCAAATGTCAAGAGACAAAGTCATGCATAAGATTGCTTAACTTTCTCTCCTAACTTCAAATCGAGAGGGGAAGGGATTGGTAAGCCACATCAGAGCATGCTCTTTCAAATTTATCCATGGCAAGCTCGAATGAGATCTTGATATCTAATTGTAGAGTGTCACATGGTCTTGATGAACGTTCCACGAAGGCCACCATAGCTAAATCCATCTTGGATTTCACCTCGAGTTATGTAACAAAGTCTCTTGGTATGGGGGAGATTCTTGAAATCCCCATGAGTGTGATTGTTATTCATGGAAGAGAGGTTGGTCATAGAACATGAATACTTGGCTTCCACCGTCTTGGTTGATCGGTGAAGCTTTGGGGTAACCACTTCGGGTCTTAGTCGATACCCCACATGTTTGGAGAATTCATTGGAATCCATAGTTCAACCTACATAAACAAAAAGAAAAGCATCTTCCAATGCAAAGGTGGAAAGAAAACAAAGCATAGAAAGCTAAATTAACAAGTCCAAGTCTTTCCTAATAACCTAGAAATAACCAACAACAGCGTCAAAAACTTGACTCGCTCTAAACTACTCTCTCAATCGAAACCCAGGTATAACTAACAATCGAGTGTAGTATAGTGAAAGTAAAGTAATAAAATTTTCAAACCCTAGGGTCTCTAGGTGTACCATTACTCCTCTTCGGTTTGTGATCTAGCCAGATAAGATTTGAGATTAAGAAACTAAGCTAACTAAACTACACTACTAATTACAAGCTGGGAGCTCACTTAGGTATTCATCCTCCCTAAACACTAATTGGATCAATGATTGATGACCTTCTGACTTGATTCATTCTCCATTCATAATACAGAGGATCCTTGACTACACCTTGAATATCTATTCGAGCAATCTAGGCCCTCTTGAGTGGGTTGCTTAGAGAGTTGTAACCTTCTCTGAAACAATCAATCAATCCATTCGTCACTAGGTCTCTTCTGTAGGATCCAACCTCCAATTTCAGAGATAGGAACATTGGGATAAATGGCTAGATGACAAGATGAATGACGAGATGAACACCGGGAAGACAGGGATGACCGTCGCCACTATCACGGCCAGAGCGATCATCTTAAAGAGCCCTTCTGACCCATGTTTCCAACATTTCGCCAAGCTAGAGTTTCCTAGATTTGCTGGAGATAATTTGACGGAGTGGTTCACTCGCGTGGATCAGTTCTTCGACTACCAACAAGTCAAAGAAGAACATAAGGTACTATTGGTGGCCTATCACCTCGAGGGTGAAGCTAACCAGTGGCAGCGGTGGCTACAAAAATCCTACGCTCAGGATGTAACTATTGTCACTTGTGAGATGTCTTCCACCGAGCTGTGGACAAGATTCGGGCCAACGAATGAAGATGATGCAGACGAGGCTTTGACTCGAATCCTGCAGACGAGATCCCTCCGTGACTACCAATGGGAATTTGAGAGGCTCGACAATAAGTTGGATGGTTGGACTCAAAAGCTCTAGTGGGGCTTTCATGGGTGGTCTCAAACCAAGATCTCTGAAACCCTTTGTCTCCGCTTGGCGCAAATCCAAGATGATAAGATTTCTCGTACCAAGCTCATAACCGCTTTTGCACAAAAAATATAGTATTAAATTTGCAATACAAGCGGGGTATAAAAAGGTATTAAACCGCGCGAAAAATATTGGAAAAGGAGAAGGACTGAAATGTGTATTTGGCGGGTTTGTGCTGCGTAGCAGAGGGTATATTCGCGTCATTATTTATTTTGGTAGAATATTCGCGTCATAATTTGATGAGACATAGTTCGGCAATTGGCATATTCAGTCAGTTTGCGTACAGAAAGAGGGAAAAGGCCTGAAGTTCGCCTGCTGCGATCCCCGTTAGTCTGACCAACTGCGCCAAGGAGAAGGGCCGAGAAGTATCCATTGTCATTGATTTGGCCGCAACCAACAGAAGCTTCAAGCAATCAAAGAAGAAAACCATAGAAAGCTAAAACATAATTCCTTCTACGCTTTCTCCTTCCCTTCCTTCCTCCCTCCGGCCTCGACGGCTGCTGTGTAGACGCCACTCTTTCGGCTGTATATATCGAAGAGAGAGAGGGGCCGGAGAGAAATTGAAAAGTGGGTTTTCAGCTTTGTGGAAGGTAGGAAAACGACCGGGAGGTAAGATGGGGGATGCCTCAGATTCGAGGTCTTTGGATCAGACAGTTGAGTCGTCTTCTTCTTACTCATCTACCATTTTCACGAATTACCCGCTAATCGCTGCAATTGTCGCCTTCACAATTGCGCAATCTACCAAGTTCGTCACCTCCTGGTACGTTCACAATTCTACTATTTTCTCGTCTTGGGGCCATTTTGGTCTGTTTGGTAGTTTTCCAGAATCTGGGTTTGTTTGTTTCATTAAAAAGCTTCGGTATTTGTGTTTGCTTGTGCTTTGAATATGTTACCACAGAATTGAATTTTACATTCATTTGATGATTTCCTGTTAGAATGCGAACCCTATTATTTTGTTTGTCTACTTTCCTGTAATCGTTCCACGGCTGATTTTATTCTGGCCGGCATGACTGATAGATCTTGAGAATGGAATGGGATTTCGGCTGGTACATGAATGAATCTAACTACCAGTCAACCCCAAGAAAAGAAAGAATTAACTGGTGAAAATATCTTGAGCATCCACTAACCTAAAAACCTTTTGTAACCATCTAATCAAGCTGATGAAGCTATTCTGTGAATCGATCGTGTATGCACTTGTCGCTTTTGAACACATGAGCTAACGATATTCTGCATTTGTGTCTCCATAAGAGACCCCTGAAACCCTTCTTAGCTATTTGCACTAAGCTTTTCTTGTTGGTAAGTAGGGTTGTTGATTGGTTTAGCTTATCTTTTAAGTGGCTTAAGGTTCCCTTAGATATGCAGGTACAGGGAAAAACAATGGGATTTGAAGCTGCTCATTGGATCTGGTGGAATGCCATCGTCCCATTCCGCGACTGTTTCTGCTCTCACCGTGGCCATTGGGTTCCAGGAAGGCTTTGGAGGATCGGTTTTCGCCGCTGCATTGATCTTATCTTGCATTGTAAGATTCGTCTTCATTTGTAATGCTTAATGGAAGATGATTTATTCATTGATGTGTATTTATTTTGGTTGGCAGGTGATGTATGATGCAACTGGTGTAAGACTACACGCCGGACGCCAAGCTGAGGTTTTGAATGCTCTATATAATCCCTTTGTATCAATCCCAATTACTAGTTAATCAAATGAGTTTTTTTTCTTTCTTCTTCAGGTTTTGAATCAAATTGTATATGAGCTGCCTGCTGAACATCCTTTAGCCGAGAGCAGACCTCTACGCGAGCTTCTAGGTCACACTCCTGCTCAGGTAATAATACCACACATTGCTTAATGCTTATGTTTGTAGTACTGCAGAGAATTTTGAATGTTTGTGAAGAAATGGGATGGTAATTATGAGACTGGTAGACTTCTGAGTACAATCTCGAGTCAGTAGTGCTTATCTTTGTGGATTATCTGTGGTGATTGATAGGTAGTTGCTGGTTGTTTGCTTGGAGTTGTCACGGCAGTCATTGGCCATCTAATCACAATGACGACTAGTCGAAGCTGATACAAGTCCCGGAAGATATTACAGTTTTCCCCTCGACACATCAAAGAAGCTAAAGTTCAGCTCACAAGACATGGGGTGTTGCGATCTGCCCAACTGTCACCACAACTGGGTTCTTGAAAGCTTGATGTCTCTAAACTCCACATCATATGCATACTCACCCTTCTGTTGAATCTGTTGTGTTCTTTCACTCTAGATAGGGATATTCCAGACTTCATACATGTGATTCGTTGCAGTATATTATTGACAGGGGGTAATAGAAATCATGATGTCATGTACCAATGCACAAAACTGGCACATAATTTCTGTATGTTTGACATGAAATTTTCAGAAAAAGGTGGTTTAGATGTCATATTTGAAAATGAAGATTGTATATTTCATAAAAAAATGAAGATTGTATTTAATTCTTGGATTTGGAAAGTGAAGAATTGGTGTTGGACTTGGACATTTATTTATTCAAAATTTTGGTTTTTGGATGTTGGATTTGGGTCATAGATTTACATTTCATTCTGAGATTTGGGAAATGTAAGCATAATGTTATAAAAAAATGGAGGATTTCCCAAATCCTTAGCAACTCACCCTCGTTGAACTTGGTGTCTCAAACCATTTGAGATAATTTGCTTGACTGAATGAATATCGTTACCCTCAATGACAAGATTATCCTTTTATTCCAAGCTATAATTTCGTAGATGTCCGTTTGGGGCATCGTACAATTTAGACCTTTTGAGCTATACAAGTATGAGTAATTTCAAGATGCTTTTGAGCTATACAAGTATGAGTAATTTCAAGATGCTTTAAAAGCACGGATGATTTAGTTTGTGTTGTGATTTAAAAAAAATATATAGGTACAACTTAAAGTTGTACCATAACGTTAAAGGATGGTCTAGTCATTAGTTCCCATGAATTTTATAAATATTGAAGAAAAATGGACTGATGTGGCATTTGGACGGGATCAAACCAGACCAAGTGCAATGTCAGTTTGATCCTTGATTCTAAAATGTTTTTCACTATAAGACTGCGGTTCTTATGAGTTTGGTCCGGACCGACTGGACTGAACCTTTACACACCCGTGGTATATGTTGAGAAATTGGAATAAAAAAAAAGAGGAGTACAATAGAATGAAAAGTAAGTAAAAATCTATTTATTATTAAATTTATATAATATTATCACTACTTATTCACACATAAATAGATATTAAAAGATAAAATATCTTTGAATAATATTCATAGGTTTTAATAAATATACTTTAAAGAAAATAATTATTAAATTGGATTTGTGGCCAAGACATATAGTTATTTCATGTCTCTCACTTAGGAGTTGATTTGTCAACATGGTCGTTAAATCAGGGTGAAAACGACATATCAAATCTGGTATAACCATAACTAACCATCCAATAGGTTTCTCCTGTCCAGTTTAATTTTGAATTGAATATGGTCAAACTTTGTTAAACCTGTTCAAACCTATAAGTTTTAACTATTTGATTAGGTAAATTGAGTTAACAAACCGTTACTCTCTGTACCTTTTTCCACAAACACTTCATCTCTCTAATTTTCAACGCAATTCAAGTCAACCAATAGATATCAATTTGACTATAAACTTGCTCACCGGAATCAAACGACAACTTGGACAACATGTACATTAATAATAACTATTATTATAAATTAATAATAATGATTACATAATTATTCCAATCGGGGTTGATTAGAATAGTATATTTACCCCAATTGCACTCTCTCACCCCATGCATTTGCACCCAAACTAAATATAGTGCACACAAAATGACTATAAACATATATTTGTAAAGGTGTCTGATGATGATGTCACATTTATTCTTTGCAGATGATTTGTACTTATATTTTAGGGCATCGCTGTAGGAGTGTGTCACTCCCATAGAAGGCTTAATCGTGTCAAGAGCTTAATCAAAAGATAAATCTACATAAGTCGTCAATGTGCTTTAGCCGAAATTTGGTGGAATCAGAATGACAGGTTATATGTGATTTACTCGGGGTGGGTGTGACGGGGTAACATACCAGTTTCTTGACCCCTTCTTTGATAGAGAGGTCTAAGTTTTTGACTTTCCAAGAGCATTTTTTTAGAAGGTTACAAGGGTGGAAACAAAGATGCATATCATGCACAACTAAGGAGGCTATTAAAGGTGGTGACAAATGCACTCACCATGTCATGTTTCCTACTTTCGATCTTCTTATGTCGAGTCTCGGATATGCACTTGCCTGATTTTTTGTCGGGGTGTAGCAACACTTTATTAATTTGATTTCCTGAAAAACTCTTTGGGCAAGCAGAAATGAGGTTGGGCTTTAGGTTGTTTGAGAATTTTAATATGGCTTTTTTGGCTAAATTTTGGAGGCAAATTCTTATTGAACCGAACTCTTTATTGGTAAGGATTTATTAGGGTAAGTATTTTTTAACTCTTAATTCCTAAAGGTAGGTCTGAGTTCCTTGCCCTACTGAGATTGGCATGGGATATTGCATGGCTAAGAGTTCTTCATCAAACTCGACTAAGACAAGTGGGGGATCCTCAATGGGACATATATCTCCTCCTATTATTATCTGGCCCCTAGCCTTGCTTCAACGACCTTCAACGGAAACTCTTTTTTTTATTTATATAAACCTTCATTCATTTATTTAACTAGAAAACTCATGGTGTTCAACACAATCCTCTTGCAAAAGAGGTACAAGAAAATGAGGTGGACTCTCAGCCCAAACCTCTTCACCATCCCATTCACACTCTACATGGGCCATGAGATGAGCTGGCTTGTTCTTCTCTCGGGCCACATAATTCCAGGGCACTCTACCCCACTCGCGGGCCTTGTCCTTAATCTCCCCACAGATGAGCCTAATGTTTGTTTCCCTATGCTCTTCTCTTCGCAATTGCTGAACCACTCCCAAGCAATCTGAAACAATCGCCATTTCCCTAACCTGAAACCCCCTTCTCTCTCTTGAACCACTGCTCCCCATCTCGTTCCTCGACCAGCCATACATGCAGCATCGACCGAGATCTTCACATGGGCCGTTATCGGTGGCTGCCACAGCCGATTCTCAGATGGTTCGGCGCTTGATGCTGCTCTTGCTTCTCCAGGTAATCTTGTAGCCATTCATTTGCTCTCGGCGTAATTTCCCATTCCTCTAACTTCTTCTTATTCCACAGTTGGCAATTTCGCTGATCCCATATAAACCAGAGGGCAGCCAAGAATTCGCCCAGCTTCTCGTCAGATTCAGTCTCCTGAAGCTTGCAGAACCACTCTTCTGAGGTAAGAGCTAGCCATGTGTGACAGGGAAACTACTTTGAAAGTGAATTACACATGGGATTTTGTACCTTGTAGTCCGCAGATCTCTATAAAGTTTGGCTGGTTGCACAAGGTTTCCGTAGGAATGTGAGATTGACTATGAAGCAACCTTTGCTCCAATGGTCCAGACTTTAGATGCAAACTGTATGGTGTGTGTTGGTTGTTGCACCTATGCAGGGATGGTATCTTTAACAGCTGGATGTAAAGAGTGCTTTCCTTCATAGAGATCTTAAGGGGAAAAAAATTTACATGGAGAAACCACCGTGATATGAGAAGGGTGATTCGAATATGTTATGATATGATCACCTCATTGAAACAAGGATCTTAATTGAGATTATAAAAAATCCTTCTTCCTTCGCCCATCTTTTGGGATCACATATGATAAACCTTCACACATAAACTCATCAAGTCATTATGTGTACTAAAGCAAGCACCTCGGACGTGATTTGAGAAGGTTCATGGGACGAACCTTCAACCAAGATTTGTGTAGAGTTAGAATACTATTCACGGGTCTCTATATGTACTACTATTCAAATTTATTTAATTATTTAGCTAGTACAAATTTTCCGATGATTAAACTACAAAAAAATATAATTACAGTTTAGTATGATTCTCCTATCCATTAGCCGAATTAGTGATTAGCTTTATAATCTCCTCAAAGGCTCAAACCAATCAACATAGTGGTTTAATCTACATGAATGAACGGGATGAATGGAGAGCACGCTTCTAGTCCATGGACCCGCATGTAGTCTGAAATCCCTCACACCTTCTAGCAGAAGTCACGAGGCTCCTCGTGTTTCAACGGGAATGCTAAGTATAAATAGCGGGAGAATCCCCCCCCTGATAAACTGCACAGTGCGCTGCGCCTGTACTCTTTCCCTCCTTCCCCTTCCCCATTTTTCTCTGAGCTCGTCAGAGCAACAGAGGAGCCAGAGCCAGAGCCAGAAAACTTCGTCAGTCTTCAAGTTTCTCTGCCTAAAAACCGAAAGGAAACCCTAGAAATCCAACTTCTCTGTCTGGTATGCATCCGATAATCTTCTTCTCTTCTGCTCCTTCTTACTTATTTCAGCTGGCTCGTCGCAAATACCGTTTTCTTGAAATCGAGCACTCTTGTGCTTCAATTCCCTGTTTCAGCTGTGTTTGGCTATGGAAGAGCTCTTAGGGAGTGGAGAATTTCTGGAGTTCGATTTCTGTTTGGCTGCATTGTTCTCGTCATTTTAGCTGGGTCTTCTGAATATACTGTTTGTGTGAGATCATTTCAGTGTTTCAGCACTCCACGTGCTTCAATTCTCTCGTTTCTGCTGTTAGTGAACCAAGATTTTCTGGAGCTTGATTTCTGTTTGGCTGCATTGTGCTTCTTCCCGCCCCCGTGGCTCCAAGTGTTTAGTCGACTCTGCTTCTCCTGTATGGGTGTACCTGATTGTTTTGAATTTTCTTCTTAGTTTCAGCTTCGAATATGTGCTCCTCGCTTCGTTGATTGAATGCTGTCCGTGTTTTGAGTTTTCTGCTTCGCGTCGGCGAGCGTTTTACCGGCTGTTTCAGCAATCGATTTTTTGCACTCCGTCCGTTTGCTCCGTTTTTTTAGGGTTTTGACTGTGCACGCCTCATAGTGTTGTTTGGATCTAGGCATCTGTCTAGTTCCCGCTGCGTGATGCGTCGCTCAGCTTCCGACGATTGTTTTCCGTTGCTATTAGACGATTAACTTTTTGAGTCTCCTCGTGTATGCTGATATGGGAGATGCCGTCGTTCTGTGCTTGCTTCTGTTTGGATTTCTTCCTGCATGTGGCAATTTCACTGCTCTTTAAGCTTTGTTAGAGAAATATGCAGGGAGGGATGGACGCTAGCATGGATGCTTGTGCTTCTCTTTGTTTTGTCATAGTTCTTACGGATCTATGTATTCCTTCTTATCATCATGCTTAGCTACTCTAGATTCTGAATTTCTTATATGTATATAGAGCCTGTTCTATTTTACTAGTCATTTTGCTGCTGTCACCTTATACCAATTTCTTCATCTGCATTGTATTCTGCTCTTGATGCGTGTGATAGAATAGCAGTTCAGTTTCTACCAGTAGATTCTCTTACTGGTCTATTCCTCGGGTTCTTCTATTAAGAATCTTAACAGTTGACTATTTTATATAGTAATAAAAGTGGTGGTTTCGTGTGTTGCATGTAGGAAATTAATTTATCTTTCCGAGAATTTGAGGTTACAGGAGTTTACTGGAGTTTTATTATCATTGTAGATGTTATTCTTGCTAATGATATCATAAATGGGTGTTTCAGGTAAACATGGCGAAGGAATCAACTGGATCACCTCATTTGCCCGGACCCCCTCCATCAAGTGCTAAGCCTGATCTGGCAATCCAGCATGTGGATCAAGCTGACATTCCGAAATACTCTATTGTGAGTAGGAAGGGAGTTGGAAAGCTTGGGCGTCAGATACCTTTGCTGACAAATCACTTCAGAGTTTCTGTTGGTGTTCCAGATGCAGTCTTCTACCAGTACACTGTGCGTTTGCTTATTCTTATAATGTGCAGAGTCACTTACTTCTACGTCTAATACATTTACATGTTGCAAAAGCTGAAATGGTCATGTGAATGACAGGTTTCGATTAGTTATGAAGATAAGAGACCTGTCGAAGGAAAGGGAATTGGTAGAAAGCTGATTGACAAGCTTTACCAAACATATTCTTCTGAATTTACTGGTAAAAGGTTTGCCTATGACGGTGACAAGACTCTCTATACTGTTGGACCTCTACTGTTCAAGAAGCAAGAGTTCACTGTGGTTCTTGAGGATTCTATTGCCAAGGGGTATGGTTCAAAGCAGATTATGACTTTTTGTTGCATCTGTTTGCTTTCCACTTATGAGATAAGTCATCATACCATTGCAGCGAGCATGGAAGCCCATCCTCAAAAAACAAGAGGACAAAGTGTTCTATTGGCTCGAAAAGCTTTAACATAGAAATCAGTTATGCTGCGAAAATCCCATTAAAGCCCATTGCTCTTGCCCTCAAAGGTAATGAGGCAGATATTGGTGGCATTCAAGATGCTGTGAGAGTACTGGATATCATACTGAGGCAGCAAGCAGCCAACAGGTAGCTATATCTCCCTATTCAGTTCTTTATCATGAAGCATTGTATCTCCGTGAAATTTTTTCTGTTGCAGGATTGTGTTCTAATACAGAAAAGTACTTCTGCTCAAGTCACATCATTATAGTTTACTGAACAAATTAATTATTTTACAGGGGCTGCCTTTTGGTAAGACAGTCGTTCTTTCATGATGATGCAAGAAACTACACTGATGTTGGGCAGGGCGTAAGTGGCCTAAGAGGTTTCCACTCTAGCTTCCGTACCACTCAGGGTGGTTTTTCACTCAATATGGGTACAACTCTAGGTTCCTTGATAATCCCCTAGATTAACTGCTGACCCTGAGATTAACTGCTGATGCCTTTTGATGATCAGTTGTCAGATTTGCTGCCTCAGCCTTCTGTATCGTTGTCAATTGCAGATGTTTCCACGACAATGGTCTAACTCCCGGGCCAGTGAAAGAATTCTTGTTGGTGAATCAGAATGTGAGAGAACTTCGAGAGATTGACTGGGACAAGGTAATAAATTGTTTAATGGGATCCAGTGAACTTGTTCTTATGTGTTTAGATGCTAACCTTCTTCTAACATACAGGCTAGGAGGATGTTGAAGAATTTGAGGATTAAGGCAACACACAACAATAGGGAATTTAAGATCATAGGTTTGAGCGAGATGCGGTGCAATCAGCAACTGTATGTTCTACTATCTAATGAATCTTTACTTTGATTCAGTTCCTGCTCTACTATGTGGGTTCAGTTGTGTCAGACCTCTTTCTCATCTCTTTTCAGTTTTTCAATGAAAGTGAGGAACAGTGATGGCACAAATGGGGATGCAGAGAATGTTGAGATGACAGTTTATGAGTATTTTACCAAACATCGTTCTATACCATTAACCTATTCAGGATTCTTGCCTTGCTTAGACGTTGGCAAGCCAAAAAGGCCAAATTTTCTGCCATTGGAGGTCAATGTTTCCCCCATGTAACTTGGTTCATTAACTGATTGTATAGTGAATCCTTCTCTTATGTGGCATTTGTTATTTCCAGCTCTGTTCATTGATTTCACTCCAGCGATACACAAAATCCTTATCATCAATGCAGAGAGCATCTTTGGTTGAAAAATCAAGACAGAAACCTCAGGAGAGAATAAGAACTGTTACTGATGTAGGTTATTCTTATAACCTGTATGATTTCTCATTTCTTTATCTTAAATAATATTCATTGCTAGAACTTATGCAGGCTATGAGAACATATCGCTATGATGAAGATCCACTGCTCTCTGAATGTGGCATCTCGATAGAAAAGAAATTGACATCTGTCAATGGACGTATCCTTGATACCCCGAAGGTGAATCTTCCTTCGTTTTGTGTTTACGTATTTCGGTCTTTAATGAGGATTTCCCCATTCATCCTGTCTTGGTTAAACACTTTTTTGTTATTTCTCTTCTGTGTGTGACTATCAGTTGAAGGTTGGTAATAGTGAGAACTGCTTCCCAAATAATGGTCGTTGGAACTTCAACAATAAGGTATCTATGCATGCCAATATTCTCCTCTCATCTCTTGTTTCTTCTTCTTTCTTCTCTGTTGTTAACTATTTTGAAGTTTCTTGCTCTGATCTTGTCTTTTCTCTTGTGTAGTTGCTTCTGAAAGCAACGAGCATTAAGCGGTGGGCTGTTGTCAACTTTAGTGCTCAATGTGATACTAGTCGCCTGTCCCGTGACCTGATCAACTGTGGAAGGAAAAAGGGCATTGTATGTTACTGCAGTTTTTCTGTTGGTTGTTTTTGCATCTGGTTAATAATTTCTATAAACCCTTTTATGCATTTGTGAAGGATATTGAGGGTCCCAAGAGTTTAATCGATGAATATCCTCAGCTTAGAAGAAGCAGTCCTCTTGCTAGAGTGGAAAGTATGTTTGAGCAAGTTAGAGACAAGCTGCCTGGTCCGCCTGAATTCATCCTGTGTCTCTTGCCACAAAGAAAAAATTCTGATATTTATGGTACTTGGTTCTCTATTTTTCTATTTCTCCATATTTCATTTTACTCTTCCATGTCTCAAAGTCAATTTCTCCATCTTAATAGTTTAGTGTTGCTTCCCTTTGTTTACCAGGGCCGTGGAAGAAGAAATGTCTAAGTGATTTCGGAATTGTTACACAGTGCATTTCTCCACCACGTGTTATTAAGGATCAATATCTTACAAATGTACTTCTGAAGATCAATTCAAAGGTATGCTGATTGGAAGTATCATCCCTTCTACTGTTTAGTTTATTCTTTTGTCGTACTTCTCAGTTATCTTTGACCTTTACTTCATTGTAGCTTGGAGGGATAAATTCTATGCTGGAAGTTGAACTTACTCGAGCCATTCCCTTGATAACTCAAACACCAACAATGATTTTGGGGATGGATGTATCCCATGGTTCTCCTGGTCGGTCGGATGTTCCATCTGTTGCTGCGGTATTTCTTCTTTCTGGATATACATTTTAAGCATTATCTTCATTCTGAACTGGACAATGACAAGTTCACAAAAAGTTAAGCCTTTTGCCACTTCTTTTACTCTGGCTATAGGTTGTTGGATCCCTCGAATGGCCTTATATCACAAAGTATAGAGCATCAGTGAGAACTCAGTCTCCTAAGTTGGAGATGATAGATGCTCTCTACAAGCCTACAGCCAATGGCACAGATGATGGCATCATGAGGTATTTAATTAAAATATCAATTTTGTTCTCGGACTTCATCTTGATGCTCAGATTTGTTGACTTGTTTGTTCTTTATGAAGTCATCTTTAGGGTTTTCTGTCATTTTGTTTGCTTGGTTTCTTATTTTGGTTTGGATCAATCCAAGGAGAGCCTGACGACTTTGTGATGCTGACAATGAAGTGATGGTTGCTAGTCTTTTAGCTTCACTGTCATACTTGTTCTAGCCCTTTGCTGATTTTCACCATCTCCCAGAGAGCCGTGGCTTGACCCTTCTTCGTCAGCTTAGTATTTGGTTTATCTATTTGGTCCTCTATGTTGTTTATTCTTGGCACTTTGTATATTGTCCCCAGTGGAGGCTGCATGCAGAATAGTTTCTTAACTATGATCCCACTCTACAAAACAGTTCTAGAATACAAGGCTGCATGATTTGTTTGCTCAGGGTTTTTGATTGTTCTTGGTTGCAGGGAATTGTTCATTGAATTCTATAAGACAAGTGGTGCCAAACCTAAACAAATTGTTATTTTCAGGTACTCCTGCATTGTCGACACTTCTCATTAAACTTTTTCATTCCTAGATACTGCAGATTGTCTAGAACTTTGTCTTGTCAAATTTAGTTCCAAAAATTATATTTATGAATGGCTTGCTAAATTCTTGTCATTGTCTTTTTACTCTATGTCTAGTACAATCCCTGTCAATGGCCTCGTCGTGGACCATGTTTCCATAAGAATTCTTAATAAACTTTGAGGGACTGGTTAACAATGAACTTTGGTAACTTATTTTGGTGTATGCAGCTCCATTTCATGACTACAGACTGTTCGATGAATGGTTCTTACTGCATTTTGGTCGATCTCTAAGTCCCAAATAGTGTACATCTTTTTCACTGAATCGCTGCTATATACTATGAGTTGCCCAATGGTTATATTTTTTGGGGTTCATGCTCCTATTACTTTCCTCTTCTGTTGGCAGAAGTCTGTCTTCTGAATGTTGTCTATTGTGTTTTCTGCTGTATTTACATTATTCTTGATTTCTTTGGCTTTCTAATGCTTATAAATTTTACTGTTGACTTCTCCTATGTATTTCAGAGATGGAGTGAGCGAGTCACAGTTTAATCAGGTGTTAAACATTGAGCTGCCCCAGATTATCAAGGTTTCTACCCAATCCAATAAAAGCTGATCACTGTAACTCTTTTATTTGCTGCTGCGTTTGTACCCCATTGTATGCCCCAAATTACATAAGGATAATTTCTTCCATTCCTTGTACTATTCATTCCAAATTCTGTCTACTTTACAGGCCTACCAACATCTAGGTGAGACTGATGTGCCAAAGTTCACAGTGATTATCGCGCAGAAGAATCACCATACTAAGTTATTCAAGGCTGAAGGCACTGACAATGTTCCTCCTGGTTAGCTTCTATACTTCTGATTTCCTGGTCCCCATTCTGTGATCACTGCCTCTTCAGTTGTTCACCGGAAATGCATTTGTCTCGTACAGGGACGGTCGTGGACACAACCGTTGTACATCCCAGAAACTATGACTTCTACATGTGTGCTCACAATGGCGCCATCGTAAGCCCCCTAATTCGCCACGAAACCTTTTTTGCCTGTTCATCCGCGAGAGGTTTTAAGAAGCCTGTACTAATTCCGTGCGTGTATTCCAGGGTACCTCAAGGCCAGCACACTATCATGTATTGGTTGATGAGATAGGCTTCTCTCCTGATGTTCTACAGAACCTCATCCACTCTCTCTCCTATGTGTAAGCCCTTCATCCATACTAAGGGGAAAACTCATTTTTGCTTCACTTGATTGTGAAATTCGACCATCTGAATCTTTTTTCCGATTTGCTATACAGCTACCAGAGAAGTACAACAGCAATCTCTATCGGTAAGTTCACACTTCAACCACATTGTGTTTTTAGTTTTCAACCAAACCTTGTCAAGTCGCGTATCTTTGGTCCCAAGCCTCACTTCTCTGGCATATTCCATTGTGCAGTGGCTCCCGTTTGCTATGCCCATCTGGCAGCCGCACAGATGGGACAGTTCATGAAGTTCGACGACATGTCGGAGAATTCTTCTGAAGTCGTGACATCTGCAGGAGTTGCTGCTGTTCCGGAGCTCCCTAGGTTGCACAAAAACGTCGAGGCTTCAATGTTCTTCTGCTAGAGATGCTCTCTTCCGCCACCAACCAACATCTTCCCGTACATATCGGCTCCTCTTTTGTAGAGATTCTTGGCAGAGTACAGAATGCCAAGCCTATTTTACAGGAATACATAAGGTTACTCTTTTAGCTAGGGTACAGCTCAATTGCTACTACTACTGAAACCTCTGGCGGTTCTATATTTTGACGGAAACAACCTCCCAGCTCTCATGAAGCGCGGTGACAAGTTTTGTAATGTAATGAATGGTTTATTATGATAGGGCGGTTTGATATTTATGTTCTGTTTACCTTTCTCCAAACACTCTTTACCTTTCGCCAGAACACCACCTGCCCTGACTCCAGATTTTATACTGAGCTTGCCTCCTCCCCCAGTAATTTTACCTATGACATTCTTCTTTGGAGCCCAAACCTTCTTGGTAGCTACTCCTTATGGGATAGAGGAATCGTGCCCGAAGAGTGTACATTTTGAACAAACCTTGGGCAACTCATAATACTCAACATCAATCCACAACGCCGGCAATCCATCAGGCGTGACACTTAGCTTGGTGATCAACTTTGACGTTGTAGTAATTTCAACACGAATCTTTGCTTAGCTAAGCTTCTTCCCCTTCTTTGTTGGAAGATCCATATATAAAGGGCGTCCAAGGGAATTAGCCATACGCCCTAGCCCCACTTTTGAAGTCCGCTCCACAGGAAGATTGGTCAACTTTACCCATACTGGAATTGTCGTATTATCGATATCCATAGGCCTGATTCCTGGTTTCTACCGTCGAAGGAAAACTTGGTTTTTCTCTATGATGCCAAGGCCCTCCCTAAAAACCCCATTTTCAAATTGGAGCGTTTGGAAAGTGAAAGAGTACCAATCGAACACCCAACCAAGACACACGAACTTCTCCATCCTCCCCCCCATAGCCAATTCCCCCAAGACCGGATCGACGAAAGCCACGCATGGCTATCAAGTAACTGGATGATGCAACCCTAGGAAGTGATCTAAAGCTATTCCAAGTCAAGCTTAGAAAACAAAGAAAATCGTGTAAGGAAGAGTTGCTGAAAATGGCTAAGGCTGGAAGCAATGTGGAGGTACCAACTTTGGGAGCTTATTCGAGCCGTTTGAGGGACATTCGAGGGCAGCTGCAAGTTAGAAATGAAAATCCCTATCTTGCTAAAGAACATACTGGAATTAGTTTGGCTCGACTGAACTTGGAGGCCTTCAAACGAAGAGCCAGAAGTTGCTATGGAGGGCTGTTTTGCTACTTGCGTAGAAAGTTAACTTCTTAGGCAACAAGCAATCAATTTGGAAGTCGAGTTTGAGGAGGATTCCCTAGCTATTTTGTGTTTTTCTTTCCTTATTCGAATTATAGTAGTTTTCCTTGTTTAGTAAGCATGGGAGTGAAGTTTCTTTTGCATATAAAAGGCCTCGTTGTAACTTGTAAAACTCAAATTATGATTACAAGAGTTGACCCTAGGATTCCTCAAGATTCAAGCTTGAAAGTTTTGTGTTGATCTTTGGTGGATGAGAGATTGTTGTTTCTTATAAAATCGAGTGATCACCCTCAATTATGGTGAGCTACTACCCATATTGAACGAGCCTTCCCAGGTGTGGAATTGCATGTTAATCACATCAAGTTCTATGAGGTAAAACTCTGTTCTTTGGTCCGAATTGCTTTGATCAATCAAACCCTTTGAATTGATCTTGTTTGCGTGACTCTCATCATCAAGACCTTGAGTTTAAGGTCGTATCATTAGCTAACGAGGCTGTTTGCCCATCTTCGTAAGCCTTCATCAATTACCGTTGGTGGAACACGGAGCGATCTGTTTACAAACTCTAGTTCGCAGTACTCAAGACGGCTGTCTAGATCTATTTCAAACAACAACGTCCAAGACCGACTGTCACCGACGGCGGCAGCACCATCGCTGACAGCGGCCATCGGGGAAAATGTGCCACAAAATGGGAGATCACATATAGTAATTGATGATTATTTTTCAGTCAAACTTATTATTTTTTAAGGTTAATATCATTTTGTATCACTCTACTTTTAAAAATTAACAACCGTACTCATCTACTAAATAAATATACAGACATACCTTTCTAATATTAAAACGTAACGTATGTACCCTTCCGTCTAATTTTTTGTTAAATGGTTGTTTAATGAGCTGAGAAATTATATCTACTCCTAATTTCGATTTTAATTATGTTAGTCCCTAAACTAAATAAATTAAAAATTAAAGCTAAAGAGTCCCAACCTTACTGAACCTTCCGTCTTGCTCTATACTCACCGACTCCTCTGCCATATCATCTTAATTCTGGGGGAGTTTGATAACACCTAAATTGGTGTTGTCTACCCTTCATATTTAGGTTTGTTTCGTTCTATTCATGTGTATAATCATTTGAATAGCGTCGATTGCACACCTATTTGGTTCCTATTTGATTATGATGTGATTTTAGGGTGTCCGGATTACTCTGGGTCATAAACTAAATATAGCACATCTGAAACAACACAACCGTGAAAAGCAAAGGTAAAATAGAATACAAATGCCGAAAAGTGAAAGCTAAAGTAACAATAGTTCACTGTTCTTAATAACTTAGTCATGTCCCCGAAAATGGCACAAAAAACTTGGCTCGCTCCTAACTGCACCTCCCAACTAATGACAAAGTATAACCAACAATCGAGTGCAATTGTAGGGTAAGTAAGTTTAGTTTATCAACATGGGCACTAAGTCTACTACTAATCGACGAACTAATCTGTATCTAGCTAACGAGATGTAGTTTTGATTAAGCAACTGACTAAGTAAAGAAAGCAAGAATGATTTAAATTCAATTAAGAGAAGATCACTCGGGTGCTTCTCTCTAGCTCTAGTTAGGCCGATATTGACTTACCCTAGCTTGCCCACTCTAAATCTATACCGAGGAGAGTCCTAAATTAGCTTGGAGTCCCTATTCGAGTTATCCAAGTCCACTTAGATGAACTAACAGGAGGGAGAGTTTCCACAATCGACATATAACACCTAAGGCATGAAATTTAGACTTCCACTAAAGGACCTTGATCCAATACGATATTTTAGACCAAATCACACTCGTTTAATTGACCCACAATAAAGAAGCGAAGATGATCTAATCAACCTAATTAAATATTCTTTGTCTGAGGTCAATAGCTCAAATTGGAAAGTCATGAGATCAATACTCAATCAACTCATTATAAATATTTCAAATTAATATAATAGAGAGTGTAACAAGGATAAGATTCATCTATCATCAAATCCTAACATATATGGCTAGAAATCTACACTCCCAAGTGAGAATGAAGTCTACTCCAAAGTAAGAGAAAGAGAGAAAAACAAAACTCAAGAAGAGAAATCATCTTGTGGGGATGATTTCTTGATCTTGAGATCAAATCTCCACTCTTAGGTGATGTATCTTGCCTCCAATGAAGGATGGAAGGCTCCAATCACCCTCTAGGGTTCCTCCTTCACCACTTTCTCTCTTTAGGAAGCTGCTGCTCTCACTTCTCTCTAAAATTAAGATCTTCTTGCACAAATGGCATATCTGATTTATACCCAAAATCGTGCAAGTCTCAGTTTCACGACGTGGCCATGACATTCGACAGTGATCATGATGCGACAAAAAAACGCACAACATCACTTGCATAAGTCACGACTGTGTTGCCCTTGCCCATGTCATGGTTGAAATTGTGACATGTGCTGGCCGATCGTGATATGTGCGATCACTCTTGGAGGTCTGTCGAAAGTCACAGCTTCTTATGTTAATGTCACGGTTTGGAACCGTGAATTCTGCAATACCCACGACTTGTGTAAAAGATCCTAGAAATCATCGAATCTCACGGCCTTAATGCTATGACTTGGGTCGTGACATGCGTGCTCTGAACCGTGACATATGTCACCTTCTTGTCTTTGTCTCGGCTTTGACTCAAAATGGTCTAACAATAGTTACTTCTCCATATTCACCTACTAGCATATGAAATATACTAAACCAAGCACAATCTAACGTGAAACGGGCTAAAGAGCGACAAACGACAAGCCAAACAATTAAGGATTGAGAGTATAAACATGTACAATTAAGCCCTAATCACCACTTTGTTAAAAATAAATAGCAAAAATCAAATCGATTAGACTTATTGGTTAACCATGTTAATGGTTCGATTAGCTATAAGTTTGGCGATTAATCACTAACTAATACCTAAAATTCTATACTGTTAACATAAAATAATAATTATAAGAAACAACACCAACACAATATAACATCTATCATGAATTCATAATCCGAATCCAAACTTTTTTTTCCATAGATAGTTTGTAATAAATAGGGTATTACAATGCGTTGGAAATGAAAGAGCGGTAGTCGACCAAATGGGTCGCAACCGATGCAAGGGTCGTTTGTGCCACGCGATGGCCAACCCTGTTAGTACTAAGAGAAGTAAAAACAAAAGAAAGGAGGTCTTTAATAGCCTCACTTCTTCAAGTACTGCACCACCTCAATCATGGTTGACATCATTCTCCGTTCGCCGGATCACTAATTGGGAGTCCCCACAAAAGCAAACAGACACGTAACCATGATTTAGACCCCATACCATTGCTTCTCGCAAAGCAGTAGTTCCATTAAGAAGGGATCCGAAATACCAGCATAAAACTTACCGTATGCGCAGACAACTGACATTTCAATGGTGAATCCAACGAAGCCTATGCTGCCTCCTGTTCCCCGTCTTGTTGCACCATCAAACCTGATAATGAGTCCCCCGGTTGGGCAGGTTGGAGGTGGTGGTAACCGCTTAGATTGTGCCGAAGGTGGCCGCTGGCTACGTGGAGAAGCAGTAGCTTCCCACCATTCCTCTGCTTGTCTTGTATATTGCCGAAATAAAGGACCATTGAGATATTGAATGTTGTCATACGTTGACCAACAACGGCCTTTCCAAATGCGCCATGTTATGAACATCACATCTGCAATTTCAATCTTGGACAGCTGCATAGAGAAAATAGCTTATGCCAAGCAAGATCAGGGGTTAGATTTGCCATAGTTGTTCGAATCGTCTCCTTCCCTGCAAGTGACCATATTCCACGCGCAACTCTGCATTCAAATAAGTTGTGCGAGATCATTTCAATTGATTCTGAGCAAATAGGACATACATCAGAATCGGAGAGAGATTTCTCTTTTAGGATCGCTCTCATAGGAAGGAAGCCTCGCACGACGCGCCACAAGAAGAATTTGAGCTACGGCGAAACCGGCAAATTCCACAGAGTCTTCCAGAAAGTGGTGTTGAGATGAGAAGGAAGATGGTCAAACT